AAAACCTCAAGAGGTCGACTACCAAAACATACACTATGAAGTTAAAAAAATATTCTCATAGATGCAAACTCCACCTTCTTTGAAGTGACTAAATCATGAGCAGATCTGAAAAGCTGCTGTGATTATAGGATTCCTTTTCACAAGAATCAGGTATGGTTACACCAGTATAGGTTTTCCTCTTATGCTAACATGCCATAAGAGAGTAACGGGAAGATTCATTTTTAGAGGCTTAATAAGATAAAAACACATGTAAAGAACACAAAAAAAAATCCCAAACTTCATGAATATTATTGTGCTTTAGAAAAACAGCTCTATAAAGTATTTCAAATCAAAGCCACAGGGTTCTAACAGAGGTTACTAAAGTTTTGAAGATCATTAAAGCATTTGGAGATGATAAAAATTAATCACCTTCCTTTCCTAAGCACAAGTCTCATCTTGCAAAATCATACTCTATGATGAGGCATGGAGCCTGAATATGACCAAGCCCAATAAATCAGTTAGCACTCAATTAATCTTCATTTAAAAACAACCAAACCAAATACCACAGCTAGAAAGAAAATGTTATCTAAACAAGAGATACACTTTCATATAAAAACATCCCCCCTCTAAAATGTGGCAAGTTACTTACAAGGAACTTACTTACAAGGAACTTACATTCCTCTCCCACCTCTGCATATGATTCCAAATATGAAACTAAGAGAACATTCATTATTTCAAACTTCATCTAAAGCTACCTGAGCAAGAAATCTAGAGTTCATTAAATTAACGCAGAAGTAGTTTAACGTGTTAAATCAAGTGTTAAAATGAATATGCATATTTAGGCATGACCTACTTATATTTTTGGATTCAAAACACTACCATTTTTCTGTTTTTTAAAAAATAATTTCAAGCTTATTTTATAAAATGAAACACATAAACATGATTATAAAATCCAGGCAGAGTGCAATTTCCTACGTTCACTCTCTACTCTCCTCTCTGCTTCCAAACCAGGCAGCTCATGATCTACTTCATAGACACAAAACCATCCTTAAAACATTTTCATTGTTGTTTTGAGTATTAGTTTTCAAGTCAAAGCTGCACACACACATTTACAGCATGCTTTGGAGTTGGATTATATGACCTGTTTATTTAACTTTGTAGAGATGCCAGTGGAAGCACAAAGATTTATAACAATTTTTTTATTACTGTACAAGTAGAATTTCTCTTTAGAATTTTCCATATGACTGCCCAATTAATTTTTCACTCCAAATGAAACTTTATAATCTTTAATTACTAAGCAAAAGGTTTTTGTGATCTTGAGGGTAACTTGGTCATGTTTACTAAAGTATAAAATGAGACTAGATAGTACAGACCTAAAACAGAACAAAACAAAACCCTTAATGTCCTTTTGTCTACATGGAAAGAGTGCTGACTCTGGTTCTCCAGTGTTTAGATAAAGAGGCCATTAACAAAAGTGCTCAGATTATTCCTATATACACACACAAAAAAAAGGAGAGATGAGAAAGAGAAAAGCAATTTCTAGACCAATAGCAAATAAATTAAGTTCACTCTCCCACCCAGGAAGAAAGTGTGTAGAAAGTATAAGAATCAGCAATAGTCCCACCTCTTTTTCAACTTTTGCAAGCTCAGGTATTCTCCCAATTGTATAACTGTGTGGACAACCGCTCCACCAACATTTTCTACCCTGATTTGTCACAATCATGTTTAGAGCATTATTAAAATTGAAATACACATTTTTAAACGTTTCAAATTTAACATATCAGCTTTAAGGAGAAACCAAAGACTAACACTTATGTTGCAGATTACAAAGTATTTTCACATACATTATCTCATTTATTCTGAAGAAGGCATCAGGATTCTCATTTCATAAGGAAAGAGACTGGCTTAAGGAGGGTAGGTAACAAGTCTAAAGTCAAAGGGATAAATCTGGAACTAGAAGCCCAAACTCTTAGTTTAATAAATACATTTTAATTCGCTTCTTTAATGGAAGGACTGGATTAGCAAGTCACCTTGTTACTGATTCCCAATGTAATATCATACATGATCTGCTATGATAAAATAGAGTTGAGCTATATTCAGTGAATATGTATCTCAAAATCAAATGAAACTACTCCATTTTAACAAGCATCAGAAAACGCTAATGATATGCAGTCACTACAAAGTTTGAGTGTATTTTTCAGTGTTTAAAAAATTTAAAAATCTACCCATATTTAGCCACCCAAAAAAATTTAACTGAATTGAACATGACTGTCTCTTAAAAGATTTTAAGACTACATAAACACTTGACAAAATAATATAATTATTAACTTCTATTACATTTTGATTTAAATGCCTATTGTCTGAAGGGCTTAAAAAAGAAAAACCTTGTGATGTTAGTAATTTCCTGTAGATTAATGAATGCTGAAATGAGCAACTTTTTTATTCACAATGCCCTCTACTGGTGGCAAAAGTGGTTCTAATATATATTTATGACAGGAAGTTGGATTCATTTCCTCACTGTGGTCCCCCACCACCTGCATATAAATCCTCTGGATGCTTGTTAAAAATACAACTTCCCTCTCTCTGTGAAATATCTACAGATATTGTGATTTCACTACAACTAGAACTCTGCATTTTTAACAAGTCCCCCAATAAGTAAGTGGAGAATCACTGGTTTGGTTAGTTATATCAACACCTGACTTTTAAAGCACAGTAACTTTGTGAAAAACTCTGGAAAGGTATTATCATACTGGGTTTATAGATGAATATGGAGGCTCAAGACTATTTACTGCCCCAGGTAACATGCAAAAAAGTAGAACCACTAGTATTTTCTTATTCCTGGAGGTATTGTGTCCTTAGAGGAAAGAATAACAAAATTCTATCAGCCTTAAAATTCAAATATTTATTTCTTTAAATACAGCTTATGTAAGCAGTACATGCTATAACTTCTCAATTCTGGCTTGACATGATAATCACCTGGGGAGTTTGTAAAAATGCTTATACCCAGGTCCCACATTCAGAAATACAGATTTAATAGGTACAGAGTCAGCTTGGACATTGTTCTTTCTTCAAAGCTCCCAGATGATTATAATCAGCCACCAAGGCTGAGCATCATTTAAACCAGTAGTGCTCAGCCTATGATGTGCAGAGAATCACCTGGAGGACACAGACTACTGGGCCCACTCCCAGAGTTTCTAATTCAGTAGGGTCTGGCAGGGTTTGAGAATTTGCATTTGTAACAAGTTCCAGGTGGAGATGAGGATGCGATTCTGTGACTACACTTTGAGAACCACTGATTAAGAACTGTTGACTAGTGGTTCTCAACCTTGGCTACACATTAGGATCACCTGGAGAAATTTTTTTTAAATCCTGATAGCCAGGTACACGCTTAGACCAATTACATCAGAGTCTCCGGTGTGGGGGACCCAGGCATCTATATGTTTAAAGCTCCTAAAATTAAAAAGGTTTATAAAACCCATCAATATGTAAATGGGTATAGGGTGATCTTCCAAGAGCATAGCATAGTATGCTGTTATCTCCAAAACTTTTTGGATCAGAAACACTTCTGTCCAGGCACATAATTAACAGACATAAACGTGTGAAACACTACCCTATGGGATAAAATAGAAACGGCTTTGAGTAGCCTACAAGACATTCCCCTCCAACCTCATCTATTGCCAAACGCTTCCTCCCTCCACCGCATATGTTCCTATTAAAATATTAACAACTCTATTGCAATTATCTGTTGTAACATGACTGTTTACACTCTTCCTACAAGCTCTTTGGAGTCAGAGATTGCACCTAATTTATCTTGATTCCCCAGAGCCTAGTATGATGCCAAGCATAAGCGGTGCTCAATGAACATTTGTTGACTGAATACAGATTGCTATTCCTACTTTCTGTAGAAAAGGTAGTGTCAAGAATGGCTTGTATGCAACCTAGAATGTGAAAACAGATTTTGCATAACGAAAATAAAAAACTGAATATTTCTCCCTCATAAAGCTACTCTTATTTAGTATTGCTGTAAGTAAAAAAGGGATTATTTGCACTTAGAGATGATAAATTTCACTTGCCTTGGAATCTGCCACATCTTCAATTCATTAGTAACTTAAGAGTACCAAAAAGCTATTCTAAGAATCATCTAGCCAACTGTGATCCAAAAAGAAGTACAAAGGCTTTGTGTATTAACAATGAGATGAAGTTTCCAAAAATCCTTAAGAGGAAAGGAAAAAAACCTCAAAAACTACTGTTGTTTCAAAAATCCAAGTTTTTAAAGTTTGGACATACTAAAATCAAATCAATTTTGATTCTTTGGTTTTTGCTTTTTAATTTATAAGGCATAGTATTCCATGAGCAAGCTGCATATTTAACTCAGGTCAAGCAATTTTGGTATGTAGCCAAACACTCGCAAGATTAAGTTTGGTATTCTCCTTTACCACCACAAAAGAAAACATCTGACTTTATCTTACAAAGGTGCTGTCTGGTACATTCTACAGCTTTCTGGCTCTGTGGCTTCTATGTGCTCCACAAATATTTAAAATAAACACATATGTAGAAGTCTCAAAGCACCATAGGACTATATGCTTCCTCTCAAACTTTTTCAGTTTGCAGTCCAATGAGACTGTATTTGAGGAAATTAATCATGTTAACTAAATATTAACATATATCTGTTTTTAAAGGAGCAGTGATAATTACCTAAATATATATTTTATTCATCAAGTAATTACTGAGTGCCCATTATCTGCCAGGCACTGTTTTGGGAGCTAGAGTTGCACAATAAAGAAAATAAAGCTCCTTATGAAGCTTACAACCTGGTATATTTTTTCTAGAAAGGAAAAAACCAGAAACATTCTAGGGGTCCAAACTCCAAACAGGGATTCTTTACAAAGGAGAGGGAAAAGGTAAGTATAAAAGTCATCAGTTTATAAAACTTGTTGGAAGGCTCCCAGAACCTCTGGAAAGGCTGATAAACCTGGAAAAAAGAGAAAAGTAATAAATGAAAATTTAAAATTAGTGTTTACCTTTGAATTCCTTCAAGAATATCCTTCACAGCTGCCATTAACTTTTGAAGAGATACAAATGCTTCTTCAAATGATGCTATTTTTGAAGAAGTCAAAGCTGCATTTGGGCCCAATCTTTGAAATACATCCATGCTAAAAGAGAGAAAAAGAAAAGATACTCATGCACATTTATTGTAATTCAAGCATTTCCATTTCTAATATATAAAATGAGGTAATATTTATAACTCCTCTCTCATAATCCTGATTTATTTAAATTAGAAATAAGAGACAGTGACTTGTGAATATCCAGGCTACCATTCATGCAAAGGATCTAGGGCAACAACTATGTGCATCTAATCTAAAGTAATACTGTACAAACTGTGGGAATAAATTTTCTTATCAAGAGACCATAAAGGCACAGAATATTACTAATCTACATTCAAGTCAGTACAAAAATACTAACAGTACTCCAGTACATAAAGATGAAGAAAAAAAAAAAAAGACATCAGATTTACGTGTTTGCTGAAACTGGAATAAATGTTCATACATCTTACTCTGGTAATTCCAATTTCAGAAATCTAGCACTTATTAATAATTTGCCATTGGTCAACAATTGGTAACCACCTACATGTTCAACAATGTAAAAAGTGTTAATAGTGACTTAGCCACCTGATGAAATACCTAAGAACTATTAAAATAATGCTTATGCCATCGAGAAGATGGAAAAATAAAGGTATACAATATTTATTTATATAACATAACAACCACCATATAAAAAAATCAAAACATATGCTGTATTGGGTTGAATAGTATGCCCTTGAAATTCATGTGCCTTCAGAACCCCAGAATGTGACTTTATTTGGAATAGGATCTTTGCAGAACTTCCCAAAAGAACCAACTCTGCAGACAGACACCTGGATTTCAGACCTTACAGCCTCCAGAACCATGAGTGAATAAATCTGTTATTTTAAACCATCTAGTTTGTGGTAATTTGCTATGGCAGCCCTAGGAAACTAATAAGCATGCCTTAAAAGACAGCTTGGCGGGGGGGGGGCGCCTGCATGACTCAGTCAGTTAAGTGTCGGCCTTTGGCTCAGGTCATGATCCCAGGTTCCTGGGATCGAGCCCCACATTGGGCTCCCTGCTCGGTGGGGAACCTGCTTCTCCCTCTGCTCGCCACTACCCCTGCTTATATTCTCTCTCTTGTCATATAAATAAAATCTTAAAAAAAAAAAAACCCACAGCTGGGGGTACATAATAATAACCATGTAACTACTGGTTACCTTTAGGTAGTAGCATTCAAGGGAAGTTTCTCACTTCACAGTATTTTCCAAAGCTTTTTTAAAATAATTGTGGTAAAATAAAAATTACCATTTTAACATTTTAAAGTGTACAACTCAGTGGCATTTGATACATCCACAATGTCTGCAACCATCACCACTATCTAGTCACAGAACATTTTCATCATGCCAAAAGGAAACCCTGTATTCATTAAGCAGTCACTCACCATTCCTCCCTCTCCGCAGTTCCTGGTAACCGCTAATGTGTTTTCTATCTCTACATATTTACCTATTATGGATATTTCATATAAATGGAATCATATACCATGTGACCTTTTGTGTCTGGCTTCCTTCACTTAGCATGTTTTCAACATTTATTCACGCCATAGTGTGTGTGGATACTTCATTATGGCTGAGTAACATTCCATTTTATGGATATACATGTTTTATGACACACCACATTTCATGTATCCATTCATCTGTTGATGAACATTGGATTGTTTCCACTTTGGCTACTGTGAACATAGTTGTGAACATTCATGCACGTTTTTGTTGGAACACTTGTGTTCGGTTCTTTTTGGTATAAATCTAGGAGTGGAACTGCTGGGTCATATGGTGATAACATGTTTAATGTGTTGAGGAACCATAAAACTGTTTTTCCACATTCCTACAAGTAATATATGAAAGGGGTAAAGCATTTTGACAAGCCTGCAAAAGGGAAAACTAGGGAATCTGAAGAAATACAATGGTTCATAAGTATAGTTTCACTTTTCTAAAAGAAAAAGTATTTTGAAACCTAAAATACACAGGGCCTACTAGACCTTCAAATGAGGATCTCTACATGAAGGGTTCAAGCATGAATATATTGAAAAGTTATACAGTGACTCTGGTATACAATCAGGCATGAGAAGCAATGAAGTAAGACTTAATAACTATGCATTGATAAAGCAATATAAGCATTTTTCATGTACTGAAATACAACAAAGTAAAGTCTATCTATTATACAGAAATTACATGGAACTCTAACATCCAACACAAATGTATGTATATTATAGGTCAATTCTAAGATAAAGTATTCAAATATTTTCTAAAAGAAAAGAAGATTAAAATATCTTAGAAATGGCTTTAATCTATTTTATTTTGAAAGTGATAATCTCTGACTAGTATATGTGGTAATTTCTGCTAACAAGAATATCTGGGGGGCGCCTGGGTGGCTCAGTCGTTAAGCGTCTGCCTTCGGCTCAGGTCATGATCCCAGGGTCCTGGGATTGAGCCCCGCATAGGGCTCCCTGCTCAGTGGGAAGCCTGCTTCTCCCTCTCCCACTGCCCCTCCTTGTGTTCCCTCTCTCGCTGTGTCTCTCTCTGTCAAATAAATAAAATCTTAAAAAAAAAAAAAGAATATCTGATTAGCCAAAACATTTCAAATACGTTAAGACTGGACAAAAAGATATGAAAATACAAATGCTTTATATGAAAACACAAATTTTTAAGTATTGTTTTCTTTAGCTATTGGTATTTCTTTAGCATGACAAACTACACATTTGTTTGAAAGAAATTATAATTATGATTGGTATTTCTTTAGCATGACAAACTACACATTTGTTTGAAAGAAATTATAATTGTATGAAAGAAAATATAATTTAGCCAAGGGCTAAAAATGGGCCCAAAATCTACAGTATTCTAATAGAGAAGAGATGTTTAAGAAGAGTGCTCATATTTCTTTGCTGCTAGGACAGATGATCTTAATCCAAAATAACAGTGATACTGGGCCCTTGAACCAAAATCATACTAAAAAGCATCTATCATGACCCGCAAATATATATTTAAAATTATATAAAGATTATGGGCTTGGGAAAAAGTACAGGAGGGAGGGTTGGCCTACTTTAAAATTAGTTATCTTAAATTATTTTTTTAAGTTACTCCAGCAGCATTTAAAGAACTACTCACAAATAGTCTCTATCTTTTCATTTTACCAGGAATGTAGTACTTTCATGTGTATCAAAGGAAAAACATTTCTTCCTTTTAAATAAAAGTATTTATCTCTTTTTAAAAAGTCTTACATGAATTTTCCTTAATCCAAAATGACCTTTTCATAGATTATTTTAAATTTTATTAAGGCTTTGACTCCTGCTAATTTGTTTAGCCAATTTAGGTGGCTTTCATTGGTTTTGACATACATGGGAAATACTGCTCATGAAGGTTTCACATCTGAATCACCTGGTGAGTTTTTTTTTTTTTTATGCACCATCTCAAGTGTCACCGCAGATCTATTGAATCAGAATTTCTAGGGATAGAGCCTAGGCAAATATATTTTTAAAACACTCGAGATAAATCTGATTACACCCTTGTTTAAGCATCACTGTTCCTAAGGCACCAATTTGATAAAAGGCCCTCAGTAAGATAATCTAATACATGAAACTCACAACCCAAACACTGTTTAATGAATAGCAGTAATGACAGAAAAGCCTAAAATTCAAAAATCCTTGGAAACTTAGTACCTGTTCTGATATAATGTAATCCAAACATTCTCTAGGATAGACCAGATTTCTTGATGTCTGCTGGGTTGGGGAAGATGAGAACCTGAGAAAATGGTGATTTCTTGGTTATTAGACTTCATTAAAGAAATATCTTCTTGCTTTTTACCCACTGTAGTTTCTGAAGGATTTTGCTTAAGTTTTGCCTTGACCTGGGAAAATAAGAATTACACAAATTTCAGCTAGTCCTTCACTAGTGAGAGAAACAATACCAATTGTGCTTACAATGTTCTAGCTTCCTAAGAAGTGCTGACTACTCTTTGTCCTTGATTATGTACAGAATATTCCCAGAAAAGCATCAGAGCTAAAAAAAATATTTTCCTTCTCATTTATATCAAAAAATACTTCCAATGTATTTATTATAGTGATCTTTCTTAGCTAACATGCCAATATCAATTTAAGAATACTGTTTGGACACTTCTCCACATATGGCATTAAACAAGACAGAGTACACCTAGGATACAATGATAAATATGTGGAATCAAGCCTCCAAGTACCCTACAATCCATTAACAAGAATGAGATTGCAAAGGATTATTAAAAAAAAAAAAAAACCAACAAGACAGAATGTAAACCTTTTGCCATTGAAGAAACCACTGAAGGTTTCTAACTTGGGAAGTGATAGATCCAGAACCCTACTCTAAGACAAACCAGGACAAGAGAGGCAAGATGTCTAGAAGGCTACTGAAATAATCCAGGAGAGTAGTCCTGAGAACTTGAATTAGGTAGGAAAAGGCAGTAGAATAAAAAGAAAAAGAAAAAAATGTATGCAAGAAATTTTTTAAAGATTTAGCCAAAGTCTAGATTCAGGGAATGAGGGAGACTCTAAGATTTTTTTAATCTGGATGCCTAGAAGAATAACGGCACAAATAATAGAAATATACAGTGTCCATAAGGTAAAAATAGATCAAACCCCCTTGATTTACTTCTCCAAAGGAAAGTAAAGACACAGTTTTATTTGGTAATAGTCAAACACATAAACACAAACACTTAAAAGCATCACATCTCCGATACATGTGCAGAAAGTGATGAAAATGCTTTTTAAAATGTGCCACATTCACTGCAATCTTAAACAGCACTTCATATTATGCTGCCTTGCTGATGAGAAGCAACACACTGAACGTATCACATATTATAATGTAATAGCGGTAAGGCATTTAATGTATATTTATCTACATTCCTGGATTTTACAGCCACCTGTAATAAAAGCCAAGAAGAAAGGCTGGTTACGGAAGAGAGGAGAAACAGACCACAAGTTTGTGTTTAGAATGTCGACTGTAAAGAATAAAATGGTATTTAGGTAAAGATATCTAGCAGGTAACTGGATATGCAGAGCTGTAGCTTAAAAGATACAGCTGGGAATCATGCCCATGCAGACAAACCTCAGAGGCAGAGGAGACTGTTAGGAAAGAAAATAGCAAAAAAAAGGAACTTAAAGCGTAGACAAATTGAAGGAGGAGGGAGGGAAGGAGTAAGAAGAAAGAGACCAACAAGACATGAGAAGAGTCAGAAGTATTCGAACCCAAGAGAAGCCAAAAGAGGTAAGTTTCAGGAAAGAAAGAGTGGACAACATCGGGCTGAAAAAGGCTAAGAAATTAGAAAGAGGGAGAAAAAGAGTGGATTTGATCATGGATTTGATCAATGATAACCTAATTCACTTAACAGCGTGTGGAAGTAGAATTCTACTTGTAAAGGATTAAGGAAGAAGTGAGTGAAGAAATGGAAACAAGGGTTATAGACTGCTCTTTAAGAAGTTCGGTAGTTGCTGGAAGGAGTTAGTGCAGTAAATACTACGGCCAGTAACAAGTATTTAAGAATATGGACCTGAGCATATTTTAAATATTGATAAACAAAAATACTCAGCAGAGTATAAGAGCTATACTATTGATTCAAATAATTTTTTTTTTTTAAAAATCACCTTGGGGGAAAATATTAACTTAAGTGAAAAAAAAAGGTCTGATAGAACAAAAAAAAACTTTAACTATGACTTTAAAACCTTGGGGGTTTTTTTGTCTTGGCTCTACTGTAACTTCTTTGTGAACTTAAATAAAATCATCCCATTTCTCTAGGCTTCCTTGTTGATAACAGTTGATAACAGTATGATTTCAAGTTAGCTCATGGGTTGTTAGTTTCAGGTTTATTAAAGAATAAAAAATTTCCAACACTATTAGTAGCAATAGTTAATATTTATTAAGCATTTCTTAACTCATAGGAACTTTCTAAGAACTTTGTATCTATTAGCTCATTTAATCCTCACAACACCCTATGAAACAGTTACTATGATTATCCATATTTTATAACAGACATAGAAAGGGCAAATAACTCATGCAAGGTCACACAGCTGGTAAGACTCATAAACAGACCTTGACCTTCAGCAATCTGATTCCGAATGGGGTTATGATCTCTCTCCAACAATAAAAGTAAATATTACCCTTTTCTATCTTTGGGGGCAGGAAGAAAAAGTTATTCCTCCTGCTCCTGTTTTTGCCTATTAATAAATATACATGGATGGAAAGACATATTTTGTTCTGAGATACATTTTTTTAATCACCACATACTGCCTCTTTTCCTCAGCTCTCAAATATCGGTGTATGCAACTATGCAGATGGACTTCTTTATCGAACACCTACATAGCACGTACTAGTGCCAGGTACTAAGTGCTTTATAAATGTTAATTTATTTAATTCTCAGGACAGTTCTGAGGCACAGATTATTATACTCATTTTACAAAAGAAGAAATTAGGCTCAGAGAGGTTAAACAACCAGAGGTTAAAAACACAGCTAGTGAGGGGCACCTGGGTGGCTCAGTTGGTTGAGCATCTGACTCTTGATTTCTGCTCAGGTCATGATCTCAGGATCGTGAGATCAAGCCCATGTCAGGCTCCATGCTGAGCGAGGAGTCTGTTTAAGATTCTCTCCCTCTTGGGGCACCTGGGCAGCTCAGTCGTTAAGTGTCTGCCTTCGGCTCAGGTCATGGTCCCAGGGTCCTGGGATTGAGCTCTGCATCGGGCTCCCTGCTCAGCGGGAAGCCTGCTTCTCCCTCTCCCACTACCCCTGCTTGTGTTCCTCTCTCGCTCTCTCTCTCTCTGTCAAATAAATAAAATCTTTAAAAAAAAAAAAAAAAGAAAAGATTCTCTCCCTCTCCCTCTGCTCCCTTACCCCATTCTGTCTCTAAAACCAAACCAAAACAAAAAACTTAAAAAAAATAAAACAACTAGTCAGGATGGGGATCCTGGGGCATATAGGTCTAAAGTTTATTAATAAGATGGACTTTAATTATTCTATCATCCTGACAGAGCAAGTCTTATTTTTTTGGTTGGAAGGCTTATTAAAGAAAAATGTATGTATCCTTTTTCTGTTCCTAACCCATTTTATATAAAAATCTGGAAAATGATCATTTTGGTTAATTCTCCATTTTGTTTTCTCACAAGCCTTTTCAGAAGTAAACAAGTGAATACTCCTCTTTTCCTGATTTTCTACACTTGGTAAATTAAGTTTGGGGGCTTTTTTTTTTTTTTTAAGTTACCATATTTAGATACCCTATCCTAGAGGTAATCTATTTGTTGCTCAAGTTACTAAGACAGGACTAAGTATTTAGGTCATATACCATATCTAATGCATTCTACAAAACAACTCCTACTGAAAGTGAATTTTATTTTTTTTAGATTTTATTTATTCATTTGAGACACAGAGATACAGACAGAGAGAGAGCACAAGCAGGGGGAGCAGCAGCAGAGGGAGAGGGAGAAGCAGGCTCCCCACTGAGCAGAGAGCCCGACATGGGGCTCGATCCCAGGACCCTGGGATCATGACCTGAGCCAAAGGCAGACGCTTAACCATCTGAGCCACCCAGGCGCCCCTGAAAGTGTATTTTAAAAGCCCAAGCTAAATCTCAAAGTTCCTGGCTGACTTAGACAATGAACTGCTTCTAATATGAAAATAAAGGAGCAACACTTCAGAGGTCTAATTGTGAAAACAACACAGGTTGTTTCCAGCAATCACACTAATGCCAGGTATTGAGGGAGAAGCACTAATGAGGATGCAGATTCATCAATGGCCTTAATGAATCTATTGCTAATGTAGCAACTGGAAAATTAGGATCCAGGAATAAGTAACAATTCATATTTTTATTTTTATTTATTTATTTTTTTAAAGATTTTTTTTGACAGAGAGACATAGCAAGAGCAGGAACACAAGCAGGGGAGTGGGAGAGGGAGAAGCAGGCTTCCTGCAGAGCGGGGAGCTGGATTCAGGGCTTGATCCCAGGACCTGGGATCATGACCTGAGCCGAAAGCAGACACTTAACGACTGAGCCACCCAGGCGCCCCAACAATTCATATTTTTAAATACTCTGAGGACAACATATAGTAGGCATACCATTATCTGGTAACACTAAATTTTAATGCCACATTTTCATGTTAACTCCTATCTCTTCATTTCTAATTGATGAAAGGACCTTAAAACTGGACATTCATTATTAATCACAATCAATCCTAATTTTTTTTATTTTCAATAATCTTAATTCAAAGACTGATAAGCTGTGAGTAACCTGAATTTTCCATCTTGTTTACTATGTTTGTTTCACTAAAGAAAGGGTTTAGGGCTCAATTCTGTGATGGGAAAGGATTATATATTGTTCCCTACACAATTCAAGTACAGACCCAAGCTGCAATCCCCTAAATACCCAGGTCCATTCTATCCTACAATAGTTCTCAAAGTCACATTTGCCATGGAAAAATACAACTACCAAGGTTTTAGTCATCTTAACCCAAAAGATCATTTCACCCCTTAAATCAATTCTTTCAGGGGGAGTTATCACATATTTCTTAATAGTTTATAAAAAGAGATGCTTCTTTTACTTCATGAGATTCTCTCTTAAGCAAGTAAGTTCTTTCCCTACCAGCTATGACGAAGTTTAGTATCATCTAATCCTTTCATTACTTCACAGGTAGTAGGACCTATGTGACCACAAAACAACACTGAGAAAAATCTGGTCAACTCCATAACTTAGAAAGAAAAAAAAAAGAATATGATATATATATATATCAGATGAAAGTACCATTAATGCCTTATCTAGTAATTGTGATACTGAATTTTTTGAGCTGTTTCTGACACGTAAAACTCCCAGAATTTTCTAGATTTGAAATTAGAAGCCTGCAGAAATAGAGTATTACCACAGACAAAACTTACACAGTTAAAAGAGGTCAAAAGGCATCAGTGCTGGGCTGACTGCATAAGGGTCACATGGGGGAGATTGTTAAAAAACTGGTACATCAATTGCCAAAGTCTGAATAAGGTCTACAGATTAAATAATTGTATTATACCAATACTAAATCCCTGATTAATAATATTAGTTACATAAGATATCCTTGTTCTTTAGGAAATATATATGGAAGTCTTTAGGGGTAAAGGGGGATCGTACCTGCAACATACTCTTAAATAGTTCAGAAAAAAAATGTGGACAGGTAAGTAGGTAGATAGGTAGGCAGGGAAAACAATAAAGCAAATGTGAACAAATGGTAACACTGGGGACTCTGGGTAAAGGATATATATCAGAATTGTTTGAACTCTTCTAGCAACTTTTCTGTAAATTTGAAATTATTTCAGAATAAAAAGTGAAAAAGAATAATATTACTGGGCCAGAAGTTTGATTCAATAAGGTTTGAGAGGGGCTTGGCATCTGCATCTTTAAAAAAAAAAAAACTTCCCAAGTATTCTGATGGATGTTGTGATCCACTGCTCTGGGGCACTGGGAAATAAGTAGTCAAACGACAAGGCATAGCTTGCTTCCATCCATAAATGAAACGATATAAAATTCCAACAACTTCTGTGACAGTGCTTCCATAAAAGGATGTGTTTTATAACTTGCAATAAGAATTGCTTACTTTCCCTTCAATTCACTTAATAATCACTTAATGCCATTCATGTGTTAAAATAAGTTAGAATTAAAATATCCTTTACCTCTCTTGTCTGCTAATATATTTTTAGAACATATGTGATTAGCTCCTCTAAATGGCATTCCAAAGGTATCTTACCTCTGCAAAGGTTTGGAGTAGTTCGTTGACTTGAGCAAAGGCCTGTGGAAGAACACCATCATAATTTGACCGCGTACTGAAAGCATGTAACAAACTTTTAGAATCCTGAAGCAGAAATTTCACTGTTGTAAAATCCACTGCACTGTTAGCTGGTAAGAGAAATTAAGAAGGAAAAAACTGGTAAGAATGAGTATTCAACATAAAAATGTCTTTGGAAAACAATCTAATGTTAATTATGAAATTTAAGAAAAGTACACATTTATACCTACACACCACTCCTCATTTTTCTCTGTGGTGTAAAAAGCATTACAGTTAAATTTAGCTAAAGACAATGCTCTTGGGGTGGATTCAGGTACTCTGTATTCTTCAGAAAAGAGAGAATTACCAAACAAGTTAAACAACAGATTTTCAAGACTGATTTTGTTTTATATACAGATGACTATGGAGGCATGAGAAAAGTCATTTGGTGGGAAGCACATAAGTTACATGCAGTACCTCCCATAACCAACTCAGTTAGTCGTGTAGTGATTTGCCTTCAAATTCCATCACATCAAATGTAATACTAGATTTGTTGAAAATAATGTTTCCTCTCTCTGAACACAACTTAGCAAAAATATAAATAATTTGGGTAACAGTGAGCTGTGGGCAAGGCAAGCTAGGAGAATGTTTTCCTTATAAATTAGCAAAGTGAGTTAATCTACAAAAAATAATTTAAAGGTGTAACAATTTTCTTTCAACTAAAATTACATTAAATTCTCAGGCGCCTGGGTGGCTCAGTTGGTTAAGCGACTGCCTTCAGCTCAGGTCATGATCCTGGAGTCCCGGGATCGAGTCCCACATCGGGCTCCCTGTTCAGCAGGGAGTCTGCTTCTCCCTCTGACCCTCTTCCCTCTCGTGCTCTCTATCTCTCACTCTCTCTCTCAAATAAATAAAATCTTTAAAAAAAATAAAAAATAAAAAAAAATTACATTAAATTCTCAAACCGATTAGGAGAGGTGGTGATAATGATTTCAAAGATTTTAAAAGTTATGAACAATGAAGTTAAGCAAATTTCTAATGTCCCAAAGCTCAGAACAGAAGAAATCTTTCTATTATTAGGATAGAGTGCCATATAATAGTTTTCAAAGGCATTTAAAATAACCGTGCTACAATGTGTTTATTTTTTTTTAAGATTTTATTTATTTATTTATTTGTCAGAGAGAGAGAGAGCACATGCACAAACAGGGAGAGGGGCAGGCAGAGGGAGAAGCAGGCTCCCTGCTGAGCGGGGAGCCCCACATGGGGCTTGATCCCAGGACCCCAGGATCATGACCTGAGCCAAAAGTAAACACATAACCACTGAGCCACCCAGGTGCCCTGTTTCATTTTCTTTTAATGTTCAGTTTCAGAGACTCTGTTATATTCTAAAACACCAGCATGGTTTTTCACTGGTAGGGTTTAAAAAACTCTATCACTTATACAAGTATTTGCTTAGAAATACTGAAAGCTCAAATGAAAATAAAAAGTAGATTTTAGTAATTAATTATATAATATTCAGAAATTCTAATCTAATGTGATGGCTATAGTCAGGATTCTGGCTTCCCCTTTAACAAACAGAGAAAAGTATATTTCCTTATGAAGCACTTATTTTTAAATTAAATGACTAAATTCCTGTGGAAAAAGACAGGTAAGAGATGCTACACACAGGACAGAATGTAGATTTGATGAACCCCAGTAAATATCCTAAGGAGGAGAAATTGGGCACAACTTCTCTTAAGGTGCTTCTCCACGCAGTCAATGTTAAATAGGGCTTATATCCTTGAATTAATCATCTGATTTCTGTCTTTCAAGAAGTCTTTACTAAGATTACGTGCTAAAGGGAAATAACGATAAATTCAGTACCTAGACACAACATAAAAAGAAATCTACATGGTTGAAATACTTTAATGCTTATATAAGATCAATAATCACTTAAAGTTAATATGGATAACAAAATCAAAAAAAGCTACTAATCATTTTTCCACACAATTTTCTATGAATTGATCTAAGAATCTATTCTTTGGGATAGTGAAGTTAAACACATATGCATAATTCAACAGCTGAGGATACTATTAAAAGACAGTAAACAAAATCATAAACTGATTTTTCTAATTTGAAATTACTTTAGGGCAGAAGGCACTTTTATAATTCTATTATATATTCTTTACAAGTCAGTAAACATTAGGCATCAGATTCTTCTAGACCAAGGATCAATGAACTATGTACACAATGATTCTAAAAATGATTTTTTAGCAAAAGGAAGAGTCACCATCTCTTCACTTCTGTCCTATTCCCAGTTAGAGCTGCTGCCTATGACCTCTTAAGCCGTTTGCAAAAGACAAACACTGCCCACCCCTGGAAAAAGAGAAAAATGGAAGATGGCAACTAGATACGCCATTTTTAAAACTAAATCTTGTTCAAGATCATACATGATTTATGGACTTTCTCTTTTGATAGAACCAACTAAATTATGCTTCAAGATATGGAAAATGCTTCTATATACCTTGTAAAAGTGCTTTGAAGACGTATCCAACAGGTCGTTCCACGCCACCTATAATACCACTTACAAATAAACTTCTATAGTTAAAGATAATGCCTGGAAAATGTCTTTATTTTAAAAATTGGCAACTTTTAAAAGTCATAAGGCACCGAACAAGGTGCTTTAAATCCCGAGGTAATTTTCAAAGATATAAAACATTTTCCAAAAGTTTACATTTCAAGAGAAAGATAGAGAGTTATGGTATACCTCCCATAGAATATGTTTCTATTTTTGTTTTGTTTTAGCTTCCAGGATGCTTAGTGTTAAAATCCGTGTTCAAGTTTTATAATAATTGTTTGCACATGTTTTATGGTAAAATTATCTTTCTTAGTCTTCATTACCTGGCTCTTGTGACTTTAAACTTGGCTTAAACCATCTTGTGCTCAGGTTCTTACTTATTGGTCCTCTCATACTCACAGTTATTTTTCAAAAGTAGACAGGATATAACTAATACATAAAATAATAAACAGATCATTTGATGTTAGAAGTTCAAAAAAGTCAAGGACCAACTGAACATCCTAATAATTGTTACATATACTTTGCCTTTTAAAGGTACAGCAAGAAAAATCTACTTGTCTGACTTTGGACAAATCCCTTACCCTCTCAGGGCTAGTCTAATCATAAAACATGGGCTTTCATAACATTCGATCAGTGCTTTTCCCATCTTTTTCTTCTTATAAACTTTTTTTCCAAAGCCTACATGGAATCTCCATACATAAAATGATAAAAGAAAACTGCACAGCTAATGGTGGTTTTGAGGTTCCATAGGTAGGCCCACCAACTTTCCAGGCTCCCCATCAATCCTTCTATTTCCAATCCATGGCAGCTCCAGAGGCACTTCAAGAAGGTTCTGTGCAACATGACTTTATTAAAAATCACCAACTAAGTGGTTGACTATAGTCTCTTCCAGTTCTTTAGAATGCACTATGCCCCAAAGACAAACATTTCCTATTCCCTAACCATATATTTTAGATAGATACTTTGATATGCTATTTCTAAAATTAGTACATGAAATGTGGTCAAAGTTTGTGTGTTAAACACAAGAAATTTTTAAAAATCTAAATTTTATTATACACCTGATAAACTATAAAATGTGGTTTTAAAAGTTTTCAAACATTATAAAACATGAGATATTCACTATGTCCAGGAACATCAACAGTGATACCATTAATGGTCATAAGCTCTATGAACTGCATCCCTTCATGCAGCTGTTACAAACTCCCTTTAAAAATCAGAAGTGTAAATGATTAAAAAATAATTGACCAATTGCTTATTAATTCATCTTCACATTCCATGGAATATATCAGCTAGCCTGACTTTAACACAACATTGCTAAAGACAAAATAAAAAATCCATACCTTTACAGAGATTTTCATATAGGCTCTCAACGGTTAAAAGCAAGTTCTTCTCCATAACTAATCCAAATACAGCCAACCAATGTTTTCTAAAGCACTGTAATAAATGAATTAGAGTCCATGGTGGTTTCAAGTACAGCATCTAAAAAGTATTTAGAAAAAATTACCACTTACTAATTTATTTATTATTCCTATTATTAAAAAGTACCTATTTAGGCATTCCTACATTTATTTCTGGGCAAAATACAGTTAGCTGAATTCTTTTTAAATTAAAAGATGTTTTATTAAAAGCCAATCATAATCTTAAATCACTGCAAATTATTTTTGTAAAATTCATATTAGTATTAATCCTTATAATTTCCGAAACTATATACACAAAGCAAAAGCCCTGTTTTAATCAGAAGAGCATAGTTTTAATCAGGAAAGGTGGTCAATTTACTTCCCAACGTAGTCAATTCTAGGAAGAAATCAATCTAATTATTTCATATAGCTGCAGGAAAATCTATATAGAAAAAAGATGTGAACTACCATAACACTGGCTACACTCTTACAAAGACATGTTTATAAAGGAAATTAATCAGTTAGTACTACAAGATGTCAGCACATCCTGTTTTGAATCATTCATATGCAATGACTTTCCTAGACTCTATTATAAAATATCCAATTTAAGTCAACCCTCCTAGAATCTTCTGATTATTTCTCATCTTGGTTCAGTACTTAATAATATAATCAAGCAGCAAATACATCATATTGACAAGTATTAGAATCTCACTGAATATCTGGTATAAATACAGTCTACAGTTGAGGGGGATATAATATTTCTCCTGGCTATAGATATGAACAGCAAACAAACATTAAACTAAAAAGACCACTATTGCCAAATGTGGTATTTTACTGATTGTAGAAAAGATATGAATCTAGGGGGTGCCTGGGTGGCTCAATCATTGGGCGTCTGCCTTCCGCCCGGGTCATAGTCCCAGGGTCCTGGGATCAAGCCCCACATCGGGCTCCCTGCACCGTGGGAAGCCTGCTTCTCCCTCTCCCACTCCCCCTGCTTGTGTTCCTGCTCTCGCTCTTTCTCTCTGTCAAATAAATATTTTTTTAAAAAGATATTAATCTACAAAATATAAACTGTCTTGCTAATAATGATCATTTTTATACTTTCTCATATTTATATGAGCCAAATATATACACTTCTTTTTCTAACTATATATTGCTATGGGAATTCCCTATACTAAACATTCTAATTCAAATAAACTAGAGAAGACAGAAGTTTTTCTGAATTCAAATTGAGCTCCATGGGGGCAATGTGTCTGACACACAGTAAATACCTAATAAATACTTGTTCACTGAAAAAAAATGAATGATAAAATATCATTTCTAATCTTTAGGAAATGTCCACCATTTAATGTTCAAGAAGTTCTTTCAAAAACTGTAAGAAAAAAAGTAAATGGGATATAGATTATCACAATGAAGCTTATACATTTTATACAAGTCACGTTTCCGAAGATAAGGTCATAAATCTTTAGCAGTGAAACAGAAATTTTCAACTAACAGAGTTGAAATAATCACCTCCATCCAAAGATTTCCAAAAGCAATTTTCATTTCTGTTTCTAATATTGAAGATAAAGCTGTGCCAAGAGATTTTTCAAGATCAGATACAATGCTTTCAAGTATAATGGGTAGTCCAGAATGTGCAGATTCTTCCTCAAAGCTCTCTTCTAACAGTGTTGCTTCTTTAAAACAAATAGTTATAGGCTTTATTTAAGACACCAATAGAATAGTAAACATTTTACATATATAACTGGTATTTGGCCATAAATAATAAACATTTTATGTATATAATTAGTACTTTAATTACACAGAAACCAAACCAATACTTTACTTTTTAAACAGTATTTAGAAACACGTATCTATAGAAAAGTTGTTCTAGAAGCAACATAAATATATCACATTAGCAAATGCTTTCTTTTTGAAAGGCAACAGAATATTTTTACTAAAATAGAAATTTAGGAAATGTATATTTTAACCATAATTTTAGTTTTATTATTCTCAAAAAAGGGAAAAATTAAAAGAATGCTTTGCATCAATTTATAATAGAAAAAGAAGAATTATGGATCAAAGTGTGTTTTCTTCCAAAAATAATATATTCTTCCAATTGCAGCTCAGATCAGTAAATTGTTTTGAAAGGACCAAAATCTCTAGTTTAACTACCTTTAATGCCCTCCCTTTTAAAGTGATTTTTTATTATTTCAATTGATATCATCTCATTAACATTAATATTTTGATACCTGAAGACAACTGCAATTTCTTTACGGCAAAATGCAAAATATTAAGTGGCTTATCTCTACAAATACCAACTAAGGACTTAAAAGTGATAGTAACAGAATGGACAAAAGTGATAGTAACAGAATGGACAAACTGAAAGCATGTGACCTCTGAAAAACCATAAAAATCCTCTTCCTCCATCTAAATGTCATTTTAAATATTATGACAAAAGAAATTTTATTGCCAAAAAGGTCAAAAAAGTAGTAATAGTATATACATGAATTTTTATATAATTATACATAAAAAATACATACAATATTAAAATTTTCAATATTTATTTTTTTCCAACTCAGAGAGAAGGCTTGGAATGTATTTTTAAATTATGTTAAATTTAATATAACATTCCATCAAATATCAAGCTATAGGACAGATCATTCTGGTAAAAAAAAAAGACAAAACAATTGTACTACCTTTACTTAAGGATTAGTTTAAAATTAAAACTATTATTAGAATCTTTCAAACTCTTATTATTCATTTTTATTGCATTAATAGAAGGTTATGAATAGTAAACTAATAGTGAAACTAAAAATTTCTATCTTGAATGAATATTTCCTGTATATGTCCTGTAGCTATTCTTAAAGATACAAAATAGCATGTGCATGGTGATTATAAACATGTAAAAATGTATGCGAGTGTATGGACAAAAATTCAAATTATTTTGTAAAAGCGTATGTAGAAGACAATAATGTTAACTGTGTTGTCTTTTGGATTACCATTATAATCTTCTTTCTTTTTCTCTTTCTTTCAATTTTCATTTATTTCTAACCATTTGTGTGCTGACAAATATTTCAATGTTATTTTAAATGTACAAGATGAAAATTTACTATTAATTCCAAATGTCATCAATAATGTCAGTACATAAAAGATATATTTCTAATTATTTGTAGTAAGAATACTACCTGCTTTCAATTGTTGCTTAGATATACAAGGCTGCTGACATACATCTGTGTTCATAGATAAGTTTAATAACTCTGCACTCAATTCTTCTTTACTGAGTGACTTCACACCACTTATTAGGCCTTTGTTTCTTAAATTTTTATCATCCCTAAGGTTGGGGTGAGGAGGAAAAAATATTTTATTTTTTATAAGATAAATCACATGACAACTCAAAACACATGGGATCTAATCAGAGGTGGGTGATTCTCAACATTTATATTAACAAAGGATAACAGTTTTTTTTTAAACAGGGAAGACAAAGGAATTAATACACAGTAGAGTCACAGCATATGAGCTTTTGAAAATAATAAGTATTATATATTGAGTGTTTTCCTGGTACCAGGCACTGTTCTAAGCACTTACATATATATATAATCCATTCAATTCTCACAGTAAACCTTGTAGTTAGGAGTAGTACTATTTTTATCACCTTTTCACAAATGAAAAACTGAGGTGTAAAGAGGTTAAGTAATTTGCCCAAAACTGTACCTGGTAAGGGGGAGCTGGATTTGAACACAGGAATATGATCATCCGAAGAGAAATAAACAGAAAGCCATAGTAAGAGAAATAATTTCCACGTGGTAGGAAATTACAAATTTACTCACAGCACAAGACAAATGGTTAGAATTTGCTATTTGCTGAAAGAAGAAAGTATGATTAGAGCATAGTACATGGGACCAGTTTATGTGGCTATAGAGAAAGCGAAGTGCATTAATAAATGGAAAGACTTTTTTTTTAAAGATTTTATTTATTTATTTGAGAGAGAGAGAATGAGAGATAGAGAGCACGAGAGGGAAGAGGGTCAGAGGGAGAAGCAGACTCCCTGCCCCGATGTGGGACTCGATCCCGGGACTCCAGGATCATGACCTGAGCCAAAGGCAGTCGCTTAACCAACTGAGCCACCCAGGTACCCAACGGAAAGACATTTAAGGGCTGCAGTGAGTAAGTGACATGATCACATCTGTGTTTATCAGACTGCTGTTCTCGAATCCAACAGGCTTCCAGCTTTTGTTAATGGTAGAGTAGCCTGGTCAGACTAATCTTCCCACAGATGAGGATTAGAAAATTTGGACAAAAAAAGAAAAAAAAAGCTATCTGAAGGCACTAGGGAGCAATAAAATGAAGGTAGGAGCTGGAGGGAAGTCCACCCTTGACACAGAGGTACTGCTCTGGTAAGAGTTACAAGAGTCTATCTGCTTGCCCAAGGGCATTCTCTAATTCATCAATGGCTACAACAGAAAGCACAGCCAGGGTAACTTGGAATGTAAGAAGACAATGTTCAGAGCTGGCCAGAGCAGACAAAAAGTTAACGGGGGAACTGAAGAAGGGAGGAAACCACAGAACAGGTGAACCCTAAAATCTGCATATAAGTTCTGCCCAGAAAAAAAACAACATGCTACCAAGAGACAAAGCAATCAACAGAACCGGACTTCGATAGGACACAGATGTTGAAGCTATCTGATAGGGAATTTTAAATAATTTTTATTAATTTATTAAAGGCTCTAATAGAAAAGGTGAATAGCATGCAAAATCAGATAGGCAATTTCAGCACAGATGAAAAGCATGAAAATTAAATGTAACTGCTAGCAACAACAAAAAAAAGCCACAGTTATAGAAATGAAGAATGTCTTCAACAGGCTCCTCAGCAGACTTGACATAGGCAAGGAAAGAAATTATAAAATTGAAGACAGATCAAAAGAAATTACCCAAACTGAAATAAAAAGAGAATAGTTTTTTTAGAAAATCCAGCAGCTGTGGGACATCAAACAGTCCAACATACATGCCTGTATTAGTTATCTATTGCTGTATAACAAATTATCCCAAAACTTAGCACCTTAAAACAAACACTTATTATCTCACACAGCTTCTAAGAGTCAGAAATCTGGGAGCAGCTTGACTGGTTGGTTCTGGTTCAGGGTCTCTCACAAAGTTGGAACATGCTGTTGCCTAGGGTTGTAGCCATCTCAAGGTCTAATTGGCTCATTTATGTGGCTGTTGGCAGGCCTTAGCCCATCACTGGCTTTTGGCTGGAGGCTTCACTTTCTCACCATGCGGGTCTATTCCATAGGGCTGTTCACAGCATGGCAGCTTGCTTCCACAAAACAAGTGATATTAGAGAGGAGAAAGCAAGAGAGTGCCCAAGAAGGAAGTTTCAGTCTTCAATATTCTAATTTTTTATAACCTAATCTGATAGTGATAGTATGTCACTGGTACAACCAACCCTGGTATAATGCAGGAGGGGACTACACAAGGGCATTAATACTAGGAGGCAGGAATCATTGGGGTCATCTTGGAAACTGGCTACTCTAGTATAATTGTAATATGAGAAGGAGAGAAGAGGGAATGGGCAGAAGAAATATTTGAAGAAATGGTGGCTGAGAATTATCTAAAACTGAAGACAGGAAACCAGAGATCTGAGAAGCCCAGAGAACATCAAGCAGAATAAATCCTTCTTCTCTACCCATCCCCCTACCCCCGCACCACACACACACAAACACCTGGACATACCTGCTAAAAACTGCTAAAATAAACTGCTAAAAAAGCAAAAGACAAAGAAAAACCCTTGAAAGCAGAAAGTAAAAAAAAAAAAAAAAAAAAAGACACATTACATATAGAGGAACAAAGATAACTTTTACATCAGACTTCTCATCAGAAACCATACAAACTAGAAAAAAATGGAGTGATCTCTTTAAAATACTGAAAGGAAAAAAAAACCCAGAACTGTATATCCAGCAAAAATTTCTTTCAAAAATAAATTAAGAAATAAAGACATTATCAGACAAACAACACCAAAAATTTCACTGCCAATAGACACATGTCAAATAAATTTGTTTAGGCAGAAGGAATATAACACCAGGCAGAAACTTGAATCTATAAAAATAATTAAGAGTGCACAAAATGGAAATAAAATATTCACTTAAAATATTCACTTATTTTTAATTGCTTTAAATGTCAAATGATGGAAGCAAATATAGTAAAACACGTGCTTATCATCATTTTTGTAAAGGTAACATATATGACAATGAGAGCACTAAGGATGGGAGAAAGAAACTGTTATAAGATCCTTACACCTAACATGAAGCAATATAATTGTAGCTGAATAGTTAGGAGTTTATTAATTCTTCTTCACTTTGACTATCGTTGAAATTCTCCACAATGAAACTTTTTTTAATTAAAAATAAAAAATTACCATTATTACTTATTGAAGAATAAATGGAGGAGAGCAAGTGTGGAAGTAGAGAGACTAAATTAGTCTTAGAGTCGAAAAGGAAGTGGAAAAACAGCATGGCGGACCAAGGATGGTGGCAGGGGAGATAAAGAAAAGAGCGCACAGGACCTGTTAACTGACCAGATGTAGATTATGAGGGAGGAGCGGTTATCAAAAATGACTCCTAGGTTTCTGGCTCTAGCAAATGGGTAGAAAGTGGCACTTTTTATTCAGATGGAGAACAGTGCAGAAAGAAAAATCAAGAGTTCATTTTTGAAGATGGTATGTCCCAGATGTCTATGACGTATCCAAGTAGAAAAAGCAAACAAATAGATGAATATACTAGTCTAGAATTCAGAAGAGAGATAGAGATATGAACTAAGGGTTGCTGGCCCACACTCAGGATTGTAAATTTAAGTAATGCACTTAGAATTAGGTACAGCACATAGTGTTGGAGAAGGGTTCTCCTAGCCCTGTCATTATCACTATTATCATCATCATCCATTTAACAGCATCTTCATAATAAGTAGGTGGGACTTATGCAGTAGACACGATTCCAGCCTTTTAAAGGAAAAAATAAAAATAAAAAACAGACTCCTCTAGAACATAATGCTAGAATTAAAAGTAAAGTCCGACTACAAATTTTCATTTCACTAAAAATGTTACATCCGTTAATCCCAAAACAGTGACTGCAGAAATAATGGAGAATTGATAAAGTCTCACCAATTTAATTTTCATTCTAAGTTGAACTAAAAAAGCAACCATTACATAGCAATTATCTCTCAAATTTAGCTTATATCAAATTCAAAATGATAACATATTAATTATGCTGTATCAGCCTTCAACAAACTCCAAGATGATATGTTATGCCCTAGATCAAAAAATAATTTTAAATAACCTAGAGACAGAAATCTTTAATATTTCCTTTAATCCCCAATAGAACACCATACCATCACCTTTGAAGACAGCTAAAATGAGAATTTTTTTAATATTTTTTAAGTTTTATTTTAATTCCACTCTAGTTAATATACAGCATTATATTAGTTCCAGGTGTATAACACAGTGATTCAGTGCTTCCATATATTTAAAATGATAACTGACCAAACCGCCTTACAAGAAAAACCTTAGGGCTATTCATTTCTTTAATCGCTGTATTTCATACAGAATTTGGCATGATTGTGAAACTGTAAAAAAACTCCACTTTTCAGTGAATAAAACTCAGATTAAAACAGTTTACAATTGCTCTTCTTGGTTCCTTCAGAGCCTTTTCTCATACACGGCGGGTTCAATTTTGCTTAACGTTATGTTAGTTTTACCTTAGAACTAAGTTATGAAAATACTAGTTGGGAATGGAGGGGAAGGAGGAGAAAGGGAAGAGGGCGAGAGGGCTCCTACTGAGATCATTTTATGTCCCGGGCACTACGCTAAGTGCTGTATGTGTACATTATCTAAGTGCTCGCAATAACTCCAGGAGGCAGGTATTAGTATCCCCCTATATTTTACATGTGAGGAAACTAAGGTAAGCAACTTTCCCAGGTCACAAGGCTGGTAAATGGGAGACCCATGACTCCAGCCCTCACTCTATGAACAGGCACCACAGGCGTACCACCAACACAAACTGCCTCTTCCCCACAAATTAATTAATTAACCTTCTTGCCTCTTGACCAAAAATTTGTCAGACTTTTATTTCTGAACTATTTTGTGGACAGATTAAATTGGCTATTCTCAGCTTTTATAAAAGGTTTCTGAATGTCATATAAATAAAACTGAAGACTTCATAAGTTTCAGATCTCATTCTTCTATAGTTTACACATTATAAGAATGTGACACAAAATTGAATATGCTTACTGGCAGTTTTCGAAAATCATGTGCGCTTTTGATCCTTAGTCTGGTGGGTATAATATGACTTCTAAAAATTCTCTGGTATAGTTGCTATTTAGAAAAAAAAAAAAAAAGAGTAAAATGACTATGGAACTCACGTGCACAGAATAACAACAGAACAAGGGAATAATTCCTGGTACTGAAGACAGCATTTTAATACTCGATCATCATTGTTCTCGTCACTCAGTCCATCTGCAAATTTAGCAAAAGCGGTAATTAATAAGCATACTAAAAATCTGGACAGTATTTACAAGTCAAAAAAATCTAAAAGAAAGAACACTTCTTAAATCAAGAGAAAAATAAGACACAGCAAAACAATGCCTTAAAAATTCAGGATCTAGAGTTCATGCAGAATTCCAAAGAAGGTAGAATTCAGGTAGAATTACCAAAGTAGTTAGTTTACCACTAAAATGAAATAGGATATGACTATTAATAAACACAAAAGAAAGTGATCAGTAAGTTAAATGCCATACTAGAAACCTAAAGCTATGAATTCTAGTCTCAATTCAGTCACTTAGAGATTATAAATTATAGGATTATATCATGCTTAAAATGACCTCCACCTAAAAGAGGTCTATAAAATAATGAATAACTCTTCTACCAGCAACAGAACCATTTTCATGTGTCTGCTTTTCCCTAATTTCTAAACAATTAACATTTAGAGATGCATAGGAAAAGGCAATATGGGCCCTAGGTAGGAAACACAAAAGTTTCTACCAAGTGTTAACAAATGGCTGACAGAGCGTCCTCTGGCATTCTGCAAGCCTTAAAGCATGATGTAAAAGTCTGGATTTTGTGAAAATGATGTAATGTGTAGAAACAAGACCAAAGACAGTGTTTTTCCTAAGTCCTTACACTGCCTGCCTCAAAACTCCCTCGGGTACTTAATAATGAGATTGCAGGGCCACACCCCAGACCCATTTCTGGATAAGAATCTTTGGAGTCTGCACCCAAACACGAATTTAAACTCCTTGGTGAGTCTCTTACACACTAAAATTCAAGATATACTAGACAAGGAGCCTCAACTCTGTTCCCAGACTATAACTCAACTTTCAGCCTATATTAATTAGTCCTCTAAACATTCAAATTAGAAAACTCATTCATTCAAGGAATAAATTTTTATATAGGGCTGAATTTGTACCCAAGCCCCTGTGCTAAGTAACTAGATATACAAGGACAAACTCTTGAGGAGCTCACAATCTCCAGTGAAGTCTAGACAGAACTGAATTGATCTCAGAGCATAAGCCCAAAGATATGATTCAGTTCTTTATCAGACAACCAGTAAACCAAGCAGACATATACTACAGTAGCCGATTTTCCTTCTTTTAGTCCACAGAGTAAATACCACACCATAAGGCAAAATGGGCAGCAAAAAATTATTAGCTTTAAACAACTCAGCAGATGAAGTTAAAGGTTACAGTATACTGCTCTAAAGTTATCAAAGTTCAAGATTATCTGTTCTGTCACTTTTTCTAGAATACACGGGGCTTGAAAACACACCTAAAACTGCAAGAATATTCATGAAATATTTATTCAACAAATATTTCTGAGCACCTGCTCAGGTACTGTTCAAAAGCGAACAAAACAAAGACTCTGGAAACAGATTAATCTGGGTTTGAATCCCTGCTTTCCTACTAGACATGTAATCTTGGGCAAACTGCTTAACCAGGAAAATGAAATAAGAAAATTTATAGGAAACAGTTGGCTCAATAAGAGGTAATAGCAAGTACTTTTTAAGTAATATATATTTATTAATTAAAACTCAGCTTAAATGGCACAACAGCATGATCTCTACTCACAACACCAAAAACCCCACAAAATTCTGTATAAATTATAGTTAATATGATATTTAATATTTAAGAATTTAAGCTTCTCAACAGCTTCTCACTGATGAGGCTCCAGAACAGTGTCTGGTATAGGTATGTGGCAAATACATGAATCAACAAAAATACAGTAAAATATAAAAATGGTGTGTGGGGGGGTGGCAGATAACTTTATTTTGCCCTTATTATAAAAATAATTTAGAAAATCTGGAAAATACAGAAAACATAAAGAAAATTAAAATAACTCATAATTCCATCAGCTAAATATACCCAACATTCACCATCTGTAAGTATATAATGCATAATCTAACAAATTTGGGATGATTTTTTTTATTCTTTTAAATCCTATTTTGTCATTAACATTTTTTGAAATACAGTAGTATTCTCTCACATAGCTATAGTATTGTATGCAACTTCTCCAACTGTTAGACACTCAGGTTGTTTCAAATTTTTTGCTGTATTAATAATACTGTTATGAACCTTATTTATATAAATCACTGTCAGCATCGCTGCTTATGTCTTAGAAAACATTTCTAGAAAGAAAATTGTATCTTTAGGCTTCTTGAAACACACTGATAAATTGCTCTCCTGAAAAGTTACTAATTCATATTCTCAAAGCACTGGTATGATGCAAAAGAATAACTTTCTAAACTTAGAAGCAATAAAAAGAAGAAAGGAAAAGTGAAAGATCTAAACTAAAAATATCTATACATCAGAAATTAACATTAAAAATGGCAAACAGGAGGATATATGCAGTGAACAAGGGGCTGCTTAGTTGTACTTCTTTTGTGAATTACCTATTAATAATCTTTGTCCATTTAGGGAAAAGGGATTTTTTGTTTTTCTAGTCAATCTGTATAAGCTTTTCATATAACAAGGACACAAGAGAATTATTGCCTATTCTAGGCCATAAACCATCAAGTACTTTAATTTAACTCAACCAATCTTCACAATCATTTTTTGAGCTGGAGGTTATTTTCCCCCATTTCATTGACTTAGTTTCCTCATCTTTAACTTTCCCCAGGTCAGGTTATAAACCCAGATCAATCAGATTTCAAATCTTATTCTCCTCTCACCATATTAAATACTACGTCAAATAAATATAATTTTGAAAAGAGTTAAGGACAAGGCTAAAATTATAGTCAACGAAGGCAATTTAACATGAACTATCTACATTTCTTTTTTTAATGGAAAAAATGCCTGTTTAAAAAATACATTGTTACAATACTCAATGATTATGTAAAAGGAAAATAATACACACAAAATTAGCAATTATTAAGAGCTAGTTGCAAATGTGCTTGACATCTGTAAAGTGTAATAAAAGTCCATTTTGTTTTTGCCTTTTTCCAAACAGGAACTTTAATTTTACTCAGTAATCTTGAATTTTCTCACAAGAATATTAGTTTATCATTAGAATATAAAATGTAATTTTATGATAAAAATTTCTAATGGATATCATAAAATCATTATCAACAGAATAAACCTATTAAATACATTGTACTTTATATAAAGAATGTTTTTAATGATCAATGACGTAAACAGTGATACAGAGAAACACATAAAGGACTTACCTGACATAGACAATTACAAATAATCTATTATTATATCTACGACCTTATAACTAAAAGCAATTTCAGCAATTTAATAAAAACTACAATCAAATACCATTCAAACATTAAAGTAAAATATGGATTTCGAGGAAGACACCCAGAAATTGAAACAACACAGACATCTGAGACCACTACTATGATTTATCCTCTTCAATCATCAAAAAAAGCAGGGACTGAGGAAGTCAAAGCATAAAAAAAGCATATGAACATGGAAAAGTCAAAGGAAATATACCAAGCATCTATAAATAATAAATGTGGCCAAAATATCTATTCTAAAATGAGCTCTAAAATAATTTTCAAAGCAAATCTGTTGAAGAAATAGACATGCTATTTAGGACAAGTTCTTAACCTCTCTGTCTCAATTTCCTCATTTATAAAATGGGGCTAATAACTTCCACAAGTACTGTATGGTTTGAATGAGATACTAGCTGGCAAAGCACTTGGAAAAGGGTCTGGAGAATAATGACTATATAAGTGTTATCCATTATTATTATCCTTCTCCATACTATTAAGTAGTAAAATATAGTTTATATCAACAAACTAAAAAAGGTAGAAGAGTAAAAAAAAATTCTCCTCTCCTTTTAAGGTTTGGGATTTTACTGACATGATGGTTTAGATCAGGGGTTAATTTTGTTAATTGTGTAGCTGTTAAAAAAAAAAAAAAAGTATCACATACTTTTTAGTTAGCAACATATACCAAAGTATTTATGAGTAAAAATGATATGATACAGTATCTGGGACTTGCTTCAAACTACTGCAGGAGTTCCAAGAGTAGAAAGAGGAGAAGAGGAAATGAGAGAATAAACAAGAATGGCAAAATGTTGATAATTACTGAAAAAGAGTGAGAGGTACACAAGGAGTCGTACGTTATTCGACCTCTGCATTTGAAATTTTTCATAATGAGTAGTTAAAAAAAAAAAGGACCACCTAAGATGTTCAATATAAATGTTCAAACATTTTAGTATTTTCTTAACTTTAATATTTGTGGTTCTCCTTTAAAAGCTTTTAAACATACCACACAAAGCTGCTCAAAATGCATAAGGATTGTATATAAAACATACTAAGAGCTAATAAATATTTGTAAAGGGAATGAATGAATGAATTATGGAGGTCCTTTTTCTTCAAAGATTTAAGACTAAACAACTGTGCCAAAAGCCTTCTCAGGGTTAATACCATTAGATTCATCACAAGATGAATTCTTTCATATCTTACTGTATGTGAGTAGAGTAGACAACATAAATCCATGATATTTAAGTTAGTGTAAATGTACGTATATAAATGACTGAGTTGGAAGAAAACAAGGTTTTAAAGAATGAAATAAATCCTCTAAATATATGTACAAACTCTGCAGAGGCAACAGTGTTGCTTTACACATGGATTTTTTTTTTCCACAAGGTGATACATATATATAACATAAAGAGCATACTTAGGTTCTAAAACTAAAGTGATTTAAAAATGACTGAAAAGAAACTAATATGAAAAAAAATAAATCAAGAGAAACTCTACAGACCTTTATTATACAAACACCTCCTTATTACAGATTCTGACAAACCAGAGGAAAACAATGCCTCTCTCTGCATTATACAAACTGCACAGTGACAGATTCTAATCAGTGACAGATTAAAACCTCAATTACTTACTGGCTTCATCACTCAACAATGGTATTAAAAAAAAAAAAAAGAATCCAAAATACTATAATATAGAAAACTATGCATACAGAACTATACAGTCACTATCTGTGAAATAAAGACATAACCTAAGAAGGTCTAGAAGCAGAAAAATAAAAATCCAATAACACCTAAACCAAGCCCAATAGAATACCCCTAATCATCACTATGTCTGGCCATTTCACATTCCAATGATTATAAATTTTTTTAAAGTTTTGCACCATTTCCCCCCAATAATGAGTCAGCACCCAAACAAATCTGAATCAGGAAACACCCTGAAAGAACAATACTTACAGAGTTTTTGAGATGCAAGCTGTAGTGACTGACCCCATAGCTTTCTGTCGTGATTTTTGAGACTGTCATTGATGAAATGAACTGCAGGCACAGCTTTGTGCTGAGCATGTTTTAGCAGTTTTCCTGCCTTCATACGATCTAGCTCTTGTATAACCACCCAGGGAATTATTAACACAAGTCTGTCAAAGCCTGAAAAATAAAAAAGAGTTCTTAGAAGTCAACAAATATTTATTGAGCTCCTAAATTGAACTGTTGTAGGAGCACTGGAAGTTTTTAAGTAAGAAATTCACAGTCTAAATGAAGAGATAATACATAAAAAATGGTAACTAAAAATAGATGTAAGTATGGGGCGCCTGGGTGGCATGGTGGGTTAAGCGTCTCTTGGTTTCGGCGCAGGTCCTGATCTCAGGGTCAGGAATCCAGCCCCATGTCCAGCTCCGAGGGCGGAGACAGTTTAGGACTCTCTCCCTCTGCCCCAGCCCCCCGTGCACACTTGCGCTCTCTCTCTCTCTCTCAAATAATTAAATCTTTAAAAGAAAAACAAAAACATATAAGTATCAAATGAATGTTACAAAAATAGATACTATAGGAGCTCAAAGAAGAGTAACTTTGGATTGTTAAGTTAACCTATGAAGGTGCTTATTTTTTTTTTTTACTTATGCTGATTATTAATATATATATATTTTAAGATATATACTTTATAACATATCTAAATGGAAATGTATCTGTGGGGGAAAAAACCACCCCATATCATCGTTAATATAAAAAAACTTAAGAAAATCAGAATCATGCTTTATAAATACCTGGAATTTCTGTTGTCTTCAAAATTCTAACAAAATTGAGGTGATTCATCAGAATATTTGTGTCAATAACAATCAGAAGCTTTTTACCTGAAGCTGTATTTGCTAGAGAAAAAGAGCAAAGTTAGGATTTCATGACACTTGATAACAGACTTGTATAATAACTAAAGTTTTGATATCATAGAACTTTGATAGTATTCTTAAAAGAAGGCAGTCCTTTAGACAACCAAAACAAAACTGTGTTTACTCTAATCCTTTAAAGAACAGTAATCAATGTTTAACTATCTACGAGTAAAACATCCTGAATTGTTTGAGTGGATTTTAAATCATAAACTAATTTGCCCCACTAGTAACTACGTTTGCCAAACCTTGTTCTGCATCACTAGTAGTGGTACACTTAGGATTTATAAGCTAATTTTAATACACTGTGAGTGAAATATAATTGAAAAAATAAATATGTGTAAATGAAAAAAACAGGTAAGATCAGATTATTTCATAGGGCCATTGTGAGGATAAGATAAGTTAATGCACAGGAAAACACTTAGTAAACTGAAAAGTGCAATATGAATGTTAATGTAGCATTACATTTTTATAAATACAATTCAAAACTGTATGCTAACAGACTTTGGGTAATATCTATCACCTTCTCCAAGTAGGAAGAATGATCAAAACTTTACTACATAAATAAGAAATCCATGAATATAATACCTTTGAGCAATTGGCATTATTTCTTTAAGTTTTTATTTAAATTCCAGTTAACATACAGTATGATATCAGTTTCAGATGTAGAATTTAGTGATTCATCACTTACATACAATACCTAGTGCTCCTCACTATAAGGGCCCTCCTTAACCCATCATCCATTTAACCCATCCCTCTGCCCACCTTCCCTCCAGTAAGTCTCAATTTGTTCTCTATTTCTGATCAGGGCTTTACATAGTTGAAATTGTCAAAAATTATGATTAAGGGCAAGAATAAAAGACAGCTCTGACAGTTGACAGCAGAATAAAAGATAACCCTGATTACTGACCCTTGGCAAAAAAAGAGAAAGAGAAAATATGTCTAACTGCCTAATACTGTGAGACATATAAAACAAACAGTAAGACAAATATTAGACCTGACTCTTGTCACTAGAAGACATATACCATACCTTATTGTTTCAAATGAGCACATTTTAACATTTTTCATCTAAATATTATAAAAATTGAATGTTGGCTCATTAACTCCTGAGAAAGCATAGCAGATCAGAAACATCATCATCTACAGATAGGGTATACCAGCAGAGGAATGTACATCATCTTCCACCAAGTCAATCTCCATGCTCATTAACTCTCCGGAAGATAAAACCACAGGTAAATCCACACTTTTTCCCACACGTGCAGCATGGAGCTCTTCCACTATCTGCATCTAAATTATAAAAGACCCACAGTAAAATATTTTGGATTATCTACTTGCAGATTAGTAAGATTAGAAAGCAATTAATTCTAATAAATTCACTTGAGATGGTTTGTGGGGAAAAAAGTCACAAAAATATGGAGGCAGAATGGTGAAAGAATACAGATTTATAAACATACACAGGTTTTTTTGTTTTGTTTTAAAGATTTTATTTGACAGAGAGAGATGCAGTGAGAGAGGGAACACAAGCAGGGGCTGTGGGAGAGGAAGAAGCAGGCTTCCTGCAGAGCAGGCAGCCTGATGTGGGGCTTGATCCCAGGACTCTGGGATCATGACCTGAGCTAAAGGCAGATGCTTAACGACTGAGCCACCCAGGTGCCCCCATACACAGGGTTTTAAAAGTAGCTCTTCTCTTACTACCTCTGTAACCTTAGGCAAGGAAATTATTTAACTACCTTGGGTCTCCATCTGTTCATCCACAAAATAGGAATGTTAAATAACTATTGCCTGTTAGTATTTTTGTGAGGATTAAATGAAATAATATGAAGTTCCCTGCACAGAGCCTAGTACATAGTAGACCTTCAAAATAAGTTCATTCACATCCCATTTTCACTTCAATGTACTTTGGGAGCCAACTTTTTATCTGGATGATGAACCTCTTCTTGAGATTTCTAAGATTGTTTATGAGCCATCAAAAACTGAAATCTAGATTTTAAGACCCTTCTCACATCAGGGAAGTAGTTCCTTGATATATTTTGATGTGAAGAATTGTATATCTAATCTAGATTTGGAGCAGGGATGAGAAATCTTTCTTCTATCAAGGAGCACTGACCCACAGAACAGAAAAATACAACTATCACAAATAAAAAGTAATCAATATGGTTTTAAAGTCTTCTTTAAATAAAAAACTACAAAGTGTTTCATGAATCTAATTTTAATTTAGGACCAAGAAACATAAAAGTCTATGCAATAATTCCAAGCGGGTCAATCAGGAGATTCTAGCTGGGAAATGAAGCAACACATTAAAAAAAAAAAAAAAATGCATGCACTCTCATTTTCACTGAATAACATTTTCATCTTATTGCTGATTAGAAAAATGAGGTCAACAGATTATTATCATACTGAATTTTAGTAAGCCTAGGCGTAAGCATGCAGAAGTTATGATAACATTATATCAGAATTCATGTAACTTGTAGGTTATAGGCTCCACGCTCTTTATTCAAAACAGTTTAGAGCTTACTAGAAACAAAGACAAAAAGGTGATTAAATGTAAATATCTTCCAAGTAATTTTCCATAACTCTGTAAAACTTACATATTGATTTAAGTAGAGATATCACTGCTACTTTCATATTACCAAGGTTTATATAGTCATTATTTATTATTTATACAGGAACTGTTTGACTTAATTTCACTGAAATATTCAAAGTAAGTAAGTATATCAGTAACCTCTTGATCTGTATCTTGAATAGATGCAAGTGATGCTGAAGAACATGGAGCTTCAAAACTCTGAAATGAAAAGTAATTTTATTAGTTAAGAATGAAGCATATACTCCATTGTACAGATGAACCACATAGTCTTTATCCATTCATCTGCTGAAGGGCATCTTGGCTCCTTCCACAGTTTGGCTATTGTGGACATTGCTGCTATGAACATTGGGGTGCATGTGCCCCTTCTTTTCTCTACATCTGTATCTTTGGGATAAATACCTAGTAGTGCAATTGCTGGGTTGTAGGGTAGCTCTATTTTTAACGTCTTGAGGACCCTCCATACTGTTTTCCAGAGTGGCTGTACTCAGCCATCAGAAAGGATGAATACCCACCATTTGCATCAACATGGATGGAAACAGAGGGGATTATGCTAAGTGAAATTAAGTCAAGCAGATAAAGACAATTATCATATGGTTTCACTTATATGTGGAACATAAGGAATAGCACAGAGGACAACAGGGGAAGGGAGGGAGAACTGAATGGGAAGAAATCAGAGAGGGGTAGGGTGCCTGGGTGGCTCAGTTGGTTGAGCGACTGCCTTCAGCTCAGGTCATGATCCTGGAGTCCCGGGATCGAGTCCCACATCGGGCTCCCTGCTCAGCAGGGAGTCTGCTTCTCCCTCTGACCCTCTTCCCTCTCGTGCTCTCTATCTCTCATTCTCTCTCTCTCAAATAAATAAAATCTTTAAAAAAAATAAAAAAGAAATCAGAGAGGGAGACAAACCATGAGAGGCTCTGGACTTCAGGGACCAAACTGAGGGTTACAAAAGGGAGGGGGGTGGAGGGATGGGGTAACTGGGTGATGGGTATTAAGGAGGGCACATGTGGTGATGAGCACTGGGTGTTATACACAACTAAATGAATCATTGAATACATCAAAAACTAATGATGTACCATATGTTGGCTAATTGAACATAAAAAAAAAAACAGTATAAAACAAACAAAAAAACCTTGGGGGTTAAAAAAGAATGAAGCATATACCTAGAGCAGGGTTTTCAATATTGGCACTACTGACATTTGGCATTGGATAATTCTCTGTTTTAGAGGATACGATGTGCATTATGCTGTTTAAACAGTATCCCTTGCCTCTACCCACTAAATACCAGTAACACGACTCCTTCCCAATCTTGACAATCAAAAATGTCTCCATCAAGTCAACAGCCAAATGCTCCCTCTCGGGTAAATTGCCCCTAGAAGAGAAACTGCCCCTAGAATAGAAAAGCCTCATTCTATTAAGTCAATGAAACAAGGTGGAAAGTCTTTAAAGTTTACTCATTCATATATACATTCCTGAAAATATTCATGTTCTAAGAATAGAACTACATGCCACCCTGAGAAACAGAAAGAACCATGGCCAAGATAAAGAAGCTGACCTTCGATGGGAAATTTTCACCCAGAAGTAGCTGACCCATTTCTAAAAGTGACATGACAAAAAAAAAGGGAACCTGAAGATTAGGAGATGGCTGCAGGGAAAAAGCCGAAAACTGCAAGCGTTGTATTCTACAAGGGTAGAGGGCCAGAGGTTTGTGTTTTAATTTTCTCTTTTAGCAGAGGCTGAAAATCTACTAATTCCAAGTTTTCACTGGCACTTTTGCTAAGAAGATGGGACTTACCTGACCCTCTGTACAGGTAATAGGGAACTCAGCAAAAGCCACTACTAAACCATATCATCTTCTAAGAATTCTCCAACATAACACCAAACTCACACATATTTTACAGGCAGCTATACATGGTATAAATTACATACACTCTTTAAAAAAGTGTATCATACGAACGTTGCTTTCCTGGGAATTCGGCTGCCATCCTAACTTCCCAACATCAGTCCTCGCATGGTATATATAACACCATATACATCACACACAAAAGTTCCTAATAGCTTTACTGTCCCCATGACCCTGGATTTTACAATCCCTTCTCCCTCTGACTTTAAATCTCACCAGATCCCTAAGGTCCTCTCCGGCTAAGAAGTGCCAAACAAGCTAGAGCTTATTATCAGAATTTCCTACAGTACTCCTGATATTTGAAGTCTTGTTGTTTGTTTACTTAGGTCATTACTACCCTTCACTGTCTTTGACCACAGGCCACTTCCAGGGACTTCAGTAAATTTTCTATCACTCCTCCAAACCAGGAAAGTTCTTGTCAGTTGCTCCTGAAGACCTCTCCCTATTAAAAAAGAAAGTCTCAGTGGGCATTTATTTAACTGTTTGCCGCCTCCTACCATGCTTTAGTAAATAAATGAATTGGGATACAGCCCTCCCTGGGGATGGCAAATGGGAGTATCAATAATGAGAGTGACAATGGTTTTATCTACTGGAGTGATTCTGACCTGAAAACCAGATTACGCTGCTTCCCTGATTATGTTTCAGTGGCTTTCCATACCCTCTGCAGGATACAAGATAAAACAAAACAAAACCTTTCCCATGGGATACAAAGTAATCCATTGTCTGAACCCTGGCTTCCTCTTCCACTTCCTCTCCTATACACAGATTTTCTACACATCTCAACTCTAGTCATACGGAACAACTTAAGTGCCCATGTACACTCTTGTCATGCAACCTCACGACTGTACCATTAGGATGCTGGCCCTTTATCCTGGTAGGACTCTTATTCCTTGCTCTACACACCCTTCACTACCAAGCGCAAGAATCTCCACCTTGGTGAGCCTGTCCTGAACTCACTCCCAAATTTATACTAACACCAGCCCAATTCTTAGTGCTCTTTTATTTCACTGAATTGCAACTGTATTTGTCTACTAATCTGCCTCCCTGGGCACTTCCTAAGGGTAAAGATCATCTTATTCATCTCTAAATCCCTAGAACCTAGAAATGTACCTAATACATAACAAGTAGCTTTAATGTTTGATGAACTGTTGAATTGCTACCTCATAGGTCTGTAAGGATTTAGTGGGATGCTCTTTATAAAAGTGTCCTATAAACCATAAACCTTAGAACATTAGTTTGCAACGGTGAAGGGAGGGTGCAAAGGGGTCTCTACAGAGGACTATAAAACTTAAGAAACAAAAGAAGCTATTTTCTCTTAGGAAAGCATAACAGGATTACCAAATCCAGAAAATAACTATTATTTCCTTATAAAGTACACTCATCATTTTAGAAAGATAATTATCTATTGAGGAACTCGTGGGGAAAACAACAAATGTAATATTAAGAAGATTAGCTACTGTCAATAATATGCTAAAGAGAATATATTCAAGATAAGAACAATATTTATTTGCTGTTCCTGTGTCTAAATGACTTTAAGTCCGATAAGACTGGTATCAAAGGAACAGTCGATAAAGAGTTTTAATTCCAGTAACTGGAAAGTAATCATGCAAAAATTGCTTCTCCTACAACTTAATATTCATGCTATGTACCTCTTTTGATTTATGTGGTAATTCTATTTAGAGACTAAAAGAAAACTGTAAGGTAGGGGCACCTGGGTGGCTCAGTCAGTTAGGCGTCTGCCTTCCGTTTGGGTCATGATCTGGGGGTCCTGGGATCGAGCCCCGCATCAGGCTCCCTGCAGTGGGGAGTCTGCTTCTCCCTCTGCCTGCTGCTTCCCCTGCTTGTGCTCCCTCTGTCAAATAAATAAATAAAATCTTAAAAAAAAAAAAAGGAAAGAAACTGTATGGTATACTGCAGGGGACTGCTCATGCTGTTCTTTAGATACATAGTACAGGGTAACGAACATCAAGCAATGACACAAAGATGTTCAATGAACACACTCCCAACTTCAAATTCTATTCTCACATTTTACACTAGAGAACTGCTTATAACTCAAAAAAACTGGAGCTTTCCTTTAAGAAAGCAATAAAAAGAACAAACTCAATTGTTTCCTTCTCTGGACTCCTTCAAGTTCACTGAATAAGAAGTACTCTCTCCAGCTCTTCCAGCCTCCCTAGTTACAATCCCTCTGTTTTTCCTAAGAGTATCTTACACTGCAATCTATAGTCTTCATTCCTAAAAGGAGGTGGGCTCAACCAGCCTTGTTTTGTTTTAAGATTTTGTTTATCTTAGAGACAGAGCACGAGCAGCAGGGGAGCAGTGGAGGGGGAGAGACAGACTCCACACTGAGCGCAGAGTCCAATGCAGGGCTCAATCCCACGACCCTGAGATCATAACCTAAGCCGAAATCAAAAGTCGGCCACTTAACCTACTGAGCCACCCAGGCGCCCCTCAACCAGCCCTGTTTAAGAGCAGGCTCTAAATTTCAGTCTGTCAAAAGTTCTGAAGTTCCAAAGGTTCGAAAGTTCTCTTAAAGGTAAATAATGTTATTTGCCACACAAACAAGGCTTTAGAGATGAGGTTCTCAAATTAGTCCACATGCTGATTTACTACATAACTTAAAAGCAAAATAGATGTGACAAGTTTTCCAACCTGGATCTCTGTATATGCAGTTCCCTTTGCCAGAAGCATCCTTGCTTCTCCCATCCCACCCCACCTGGCCTTCATCTGATTAACTCCTTTCCATTCTTTAGCTCTCAGGTTTACTGTTACCCCCTCCAGTAAACCTTTCTTAAGGATTCCTTCTACAGTGTACCAAAGCCGTTACTCCCGGCTCTGTATTCCCATGTTAAGTGATAGGTACTTATCAGACTTAAGGTGATCGACTGCTTGTGTGTCTCCTCACATGAAGAAGTCCCTGGAAGCAGAGACTATGAATACAGTACCTGGCATACTGTAGCACTCCAAAAATAATTGTCAAAGGAATAGCTATTCAGAATATTGACCCCTGGATGTTCTATAGTACCCAGGGTTACAGAAGAGCCTAAGAGATGGTCACAGTGCTTTTCTTTTTTTTTTTTTTTAAAGATTATTTATTTATTTGAGAAAGAGAGAGAATGAGAGAAAGCATGAGAGGGAAGAGGGTCAGAGGGAGAAGCAGACTCCCTGCTGAGCAGGGAGCCCGATGTGGGACTCGATCCCGGGACTCCAGGATCATGACCTGAGCCGAAGGCAGTCGCTTAACCAACTGAGCCACCCAGGCACTCGGTCACAGTGCTTTTCTGAAAGGACTGTCTGTAACTGCTTCTGGCTACCTTTTCACACATCACCTTCTATTACAGATCCTTCATACTTGCCAGGATATCTTCCTAAGGAGGTTTGGCATTAAAGGGGTAAAATAAAGGAACTAACATATAGCTTCCTGACTAAACTGGTCAGCTCTCTGATCTTACTCATAATAGAAACAACTCAAACCTGACTATTAAAATTCTTTCCTAAAACCTACATTCTCATTTTGCACCACCTTACCTGGATTAAGTTTTCCCTGGAATTTGAATCACTTTCTTGATGCTCATGATGGTTTTTTCCTTTCCACTCACGAACAGCCTGCTTAGACGTGGAATCTGAAAATAAACGTTCACTTTTGTGCCTGGTCAAATTTAATGAAACTTGGGAGCCTTCGAGGCCTTTTTTCTCCTGCTTAGACTTTGACTTGTTAGACTCTAAACTGAAGACATTTTCTTCTACAAGCTTCTGGAGGGTATCATGGGATTTTACTGGGATTTTGAAACTGATCTTCCTTCTTCTAGATTCAAGGGGTTCCTTAATTATCTTGTTGGAATTATAATCCTGAGGAAAATGGATTCTCTTGAATTTCTCTGAAACACATTTTTCAGAACTGTCCCTAAATTTCTTGTGCCTTTCTTTCTTGAGTTCTTTCACCTTCTCCCGCTGAGCGAGTACATGAGGCCATTGTTTTTCACTTGCCTGGACTTCAGTTTTAGGTTTTACATCTTTGGCCATCTTAGGACTGCTAAGGTTTTTAATTCCATGGTCAGGCTTACTCCTAACATTTGTCAATTTAATATCTTTAAAATCTACACATTTACTTAGGTCTTTTTTAGTTCCAGGTGAACAAGGACTCTGTGAAATAATTTGATTAGCATTTGAATATGATACTTCTTGGAGCTTAACAGGGCCTTGGGATGAAGAATTGATTTTTGGTCTCCTTCCTGGAGGGTCGGTTTCTACATTCAATCTGTAAAGCAGCACAGAAACCCAATTATTATATTAAATATTATCATTGCAATTATACGTAATTATACATAATATTGCACTGTATTATTTCAGTTAGGAAATGACAGAACTGGTCTGATTCAACTTCATAAAAAATAAGAAATGGCTACGTTAAGAAAGAAGTGAAAGAATTACAAATGGTGTTGGCATAACTGGTCTATTTGGACAAAAACCAAATTTACAGCTTTATATAATACCATGCAACATAAATTCCATATAGATTAAATACTTAAGTTCAAAATAATTACCAAAATTGCTATACTTCATATTAATTCCTTAAAAACCATAGGGGAAAAAAGGGAATATTTACCTGATTTCTTAGTAAGGAGCTTCCTAAACTTAAGAGTGGTGGGAAAAATCACAAAGGAAAATAATAAATATAAATGACTATTTATGGGGAAGCCTGGCTGGCTCAGTCAAAAGAGCATGTGACTCTTGATCTTGGGGTCATGAGTTTGAGCCCTAGGTTGGGTGTAGAGATTACTTAAATAAAATTTTAAAAATAAATGAATGACTATTTACTTTAAAACTTTAGCGTATTAAAAAATAAAATTTTTTAAACTAGGAAATTGTTGTTATATACGTGTATATATATCATATGTTATGTTATATATATGTGTGTACATATATATATTATAAGGTTTATTTGCCTTAGTAAATGAAAAGCTCATCAAAAAGTACTGACTCTAGAATAGGACATAAACAGAAAATTGCTAATGAGGAAAAGGGATTGGCTAACAGATATTTGGGGGAAAAAGTTTGACTTCCCTAGTAATCACAGACTTTCTAATTATAACAGCATACCATTTTCTTCTATCAAATTAGCAAAGATTTTAAAATAACATTAAATACTGGCGAGGGGTTGAAAAATGGACCCTTTCATGGTAGAAATGCAAAATGATATGAGTTCCACAAAGGTGGGGCACCTGGGTGGATCAGGTGGTGAAGTGTCTTGATTTCGGCTCAGGTCATTGATCTCAGGGTGGTGAGATTGAGCCCTGCATCAGGCTCAGCATGGAGCCTGCTTAATTCTCTCTCCCTCCCCTTCTGCCCTTCGCCCCCACTCCCCTGCTTGTACACTCTCTCTCTCTAAAAAAAAAAAAAAAAAAAGAAGAGTTCTACAAAGGAATTTGAGGGGCGCCTGGGTGGCTCAGATGGTTGGGCATCCGCCTTCAGCTCAGGTTGTGATCCCAGAGTCCTGGGATCAAGTCCTGCATTGGGCTCCCTGCTGGGCGGGGAGCCTGCTTCTCTCTCTGCCTCTCCCTCTCTCTCTCTCTCTCTCTTATGAATAAATAAAACAAAAAAAAAAAGGAATTTGATAATTAAGAATTCTAAAAATGTTCATATTCTTTGACTTCCTAGTAATTCCCATTTTAGAAATCTACACCAAGGTGAAAAAAATTAAAAATGGACTAAAATCTTTTTTAAAATTTAGGATTATTTATAATAGCAAAAAGTAAGATAACAGGGTAAATTCTAAAATTTTGGAAATGACTAAGAAATATGCCATTCTACCAAAATGATAGAATATCATGGTCATTTTAAATGATGTTTATGAAAGTTTTCAATGATCTAACAAAACATGTTATAATATTAAGCAAAAATCAAGCAGGGCACAAACCTGTATATATAACGTGGTCTCAACAATTTAAATAAATACAGTAAAAAGTTTAGAAAGGAATATGCTAAAATGTTAGAAGTAGCAATAGCTAGAGGTGATATTTTCCTGCTTCATAAAAGTAGATATTACTTTGTAGTCAGAAAGAAAGGTGAAAAAATTTCAATGAAACACAATGCATTAATTTATATCAATAAATCCTTGAGGGCCTTCTAAGTGCCTGTCACTCTGCTAGGACCTGAAGGCCATGGAGGACACATCCAATAGAGTTCTGACCCAATTAGCTTACAGTCTGGTAGGGGAGAAAGAGACACTAAACAGTTGATTTCTCAAATAATTATATGAGCAAACTATAAACACCTCAGAGTTTTTATAGGGTTTTACCTGAGTCTTCATTGGATTTTATTTTCTTTCCATTATTATTTATCTGTTAGTAAATGATCATAAAACAAAACTTGAAATTTTAATAGGGCTCTGGCTTCTAATAGTATACCACGTTTAAGATGTCAACTGTATTAAAGAAAAACCAGGAGAACAACACACAAAACGTAACTCAAAAATATTAATGGGACCCTGTAGTTCTCTGAGCATTTTCATATTCTTTTTTAAGATTTTATTTATTTATTTTTGTGAGAGAGAATGAACAAGTGGGGGGGGAGGGGCAGAGGGAGAAGCAGACTCACCGCTGAGCAAAGAGCCCAATGCGGGACTCGATCCCAGGACCCTGGGATCATGACCTGAGCCGAAGGCAGACGCTTAACTGACGGAGCCACCTAGGTGCCCCTTCATATTCCTTTTTATTTGTTCTTCACAGCAATGCTGTGCTGCATGCTTTATAGCCATCTATGCGCCACGGTCTGTATGGTCATAATTAATGAAAACTCAGTAATACAATACCTTTTAAAAGACCAACAAAATTAAATCTTAAAACTACCTCTTATCAACTAGTCTTGCAAAATACTAGATTGTGATAAAGCAGTTTTATATTTGTAACCCAAAATACTAAAGTTCTGATATCTTTTTAGATGTAAGTTAGACATGGAGCAAATACTTATTTTTTTAAATACTTATCTTTTATGAATGACAGTATAAAATCAATATTCAGTTGAAGTTGAAACACCATCCTAGATGAACTCTTGTCATATAATAATGTGAAATTTTGTCAAAACTTTATTATTATACTTAGACTATGTAAAAATTTAGTAGCCATTTTAAAATATGATATACTTCAGGAACAATTTCTCAACACTATCAGCTGTTAGACTGCTCTGTTGGTCATCATAATGTTCACTTAGGATACTGAATTATATACTTAGTTTCAACTTAGCTCAATTGAAGAATAAATTACTTTTTGGCTAATTCTGCCAATAATGGGTCTTGCTGGTGGCAATGTTGCCAACTATCTAATGGTAACTGAAGCAAAACTTCTCACCTCTTCAATTCTTGGGCTTAAAAAGATTTGGTCAGTCTTTTTAATCATCAAGTGGTCAATCATCACTGGTCAATCATCAACAGTGATGATGCAACTTAGTGAAGAAATACCACAAACTGAAAGTGCACTGCTCAGGGAAATGCTTTCTGAATATTTTCAAAAGCATACTTAAGATTGTTGCCCTTAATTTAAGAAACAAAACAGATGAACACAGGGGAAGAAGGAAAAATAAGATGAAAACAGAGGGGGAGACAAACCAAAGAGACTCTTAACTATAGGAAACAAACTGAGGTTTGCTGGAGGGGAGGTGGGTCAGGGATGGGGTAACTGGGTGATGGGCATTGAGGAGGGCACATGATGTGATGAACACTGGGTGTTATATGCAACTGATGAATCACTGAACTCTACCCCTGAAACTAATAATATAAGTTGATTTTAAATTAAAAAAAAAAAGATTGTTGCCCTTGCTGATATTTTCATTGCTAATACATCTGTATGTACTCAAACCACGGATTGAGAATTGTGGTAATGGAACGATGTAAGTAGCTTTCAGGGTGACAAAATTCTGATTTTTCATCTGCACCCTCAGCTTTCACTGCACACCAATTTTGGAACCATCCCTAGAGCTGAATAGGGAGATTTTTACAGAAGATGCCATATACCATAAAGAAATACTTATAACCTTTAGGCAAATAAGTTTACTTCTCCAATGAATAAACAACAACAGCAAATGAACCACATTCAATGCAGGCAACCAATGGTTGTTAGAAGTTCTGCACTGTTGACACTGATGTTTGCAAAGCACAGTAGGACAGCTTTCTTTTGTCCAAGCAACCTTTACAGTATATAATAGCTCCTATCCCATATTGTTAAAACACATGACAAAGCAGTTTTAAAATATCTTGTATGCCATATAGTTTGTCTTTGACAAAAGAAAATTTCACTACAAGTTTTATCTAGAGAGCTTACCAATAGCTGAAAGCAAATATTCAGATAGTAACAATAAATCCAAATGCCATGCCTTGTTCACATCACTGACGTCCTTACTCTCAGTAGATATGATGATAACCCACACAATGGCATGGTCATTGATCACACATGGGTTCAGGAATGCAAAAATGCTGCAGTAGGCATTTGACTATTCAGTGTTGCAAGAGATGAAGCCAAATAGCAGATTTGGAGTAAATACTGAAGCCAAGGTGCATTTCATTGCATCCTTGGAATAGTTTAGATCCTATTCTCAAAATAATTCAACAATATTGCTATTTCTTCCTCTCAAAGACTATGTGGACAAGTCTAGGGGAGTAGTATATATAGATCAGAAGTCTATTCATTCCCTTATTCGTATATATAAAATCAAGGACTAAAAAATGTGCCCTTAATAAGGCTAAAGGTAACTAGTGAAAAACCACACAGTGTTTTAGAACTTAAAAAAAAAAATACTAGGAAAAAAGGCATTAAAAATCCATTTTGAAAAAGTTTAGAAACTAATAGTCAGTGTAATGTGAAATATATAACAGAATATACTTCAACAGATAATAATATAGGAGCAAAGTAGCACAAAGAAAGAGGAGGAGATGATTCAAAAACAAAAACAAAGAAAAACCAAAAGAAAAGCCAGAGGCAAGCTGAATTTTTTGTTTTTCGCAAATATTAACTAAGCTTGTCTGGGAAGCAGAACTTTTATGTATATATTTAATGCCATCTGTATCATTTTCTCATAACTCTTTATTTTTAGAGAAACTATCATCTCATCAACTTTCATCATATGTTATACTTTATATTTACCCCATTAGTGGCAAGAAATGCCTTCACCACAAAGTTCTCTGAAATTTTTATCCAAGAACACAGAAACTAAAGAAAAATAATCCCCATTATTCCTACCATTTTTCCCCAAGTTCTCTAGTTGTAGCCATATCCTATTTAAATAACACAGTTTTAAAACCATAACAATTCCATAATCGACATATTCTCTTCACAGGTGATATATAAAGATAATTTATCTTTGTAACATTTTTAAGCCAGCCACATAAATTCTTCTATTATTATCTGTAACAGAGTTATGTATCTTATAAGGGTGTGTCAAAATCAAATCACCAGAGATAAAAATCTGCATTTTACTTGAAAGTGTCATTTACATAGCACAGAATTGTGATAGACTTTTTATTTCACTCAACTTTTTATTAAATTTACACTAATATTAAGGAAATTCAATAGTCAGGGGCACCTGGGTGTCAGTCTGTTAAGTGTCTGCCTTTGGCTCAGGTCATGATCTCGGGGGTCCTGGGATCGTACCCTGAGTCGAGTTGGGCTCCCTGCTCAGCAAGGAGTCTACATCTCCCTCTGCTGCTACCCCCCCACCACTGCTTGTGCTCTCTTGCTGTCTCTCTCTCTCAAATAATAAAATCTTCAAAAAAAAAAAATTCAGTGATCATAACCTGTGCTAGAGCTAGAAATACTGGCATGAAATCAGTACTAGTCAAAGTAAACAAAAAATTTTGCAAATCAAAATATTTAGTCTCACAATTCTAAGCCCCCCAAAGCAAAAGATATCAACAAAAAGGAGGAATTTACCTTTTCAGTTCTTGTCTTCTTTTTACATCACAGTACAAAATGTCTGTATGATCCAATTTCTGAAAGAAAAAAAAATGTATCATTTAGGAAATAGAAATTGTGCACTGACACTATAGTTACAGGAGAAAGAGACTGGGAGACAATATATTTTTCCACATCTATGTGTTACTGAATAGACTGACACATTTATTTATTTAATCTTTTAATAACCCTGAGACAGGTATTATCATCATCCCCATTTTATAAAGTACTCAAGGCTCAAACAGAGAAAAGTTATCTTCCTCAACATTACACAGCAAGTCAGCAGCAGAGCCAGGATTGAAACAAGTTCTCTCTATCTCTACTCTCCCAGTCTGTCTCTCCATGTGCTCTGGGGATACAGGCCTAGGCACAAAAGAAGTAAGAGAGAAACAGGATATAGCCCCTGTCCTAAAGACTTAAAGAATAGAGAGAAGACGGATATGTATGAATAATCTAATGAAAGGACATACCTAAGTGTCAAAGCAATAACAATAAGTTGTAAAAGAGTTCAAAACACCAAGCACCAAAAGTTGGAACACACTTAGGAAAAAAGATGGACAAAATATATGCTAAAGATTGAATACAGATTAATAAGTAAAAGAAAAAGTTTTTCTCAGCTAAGAAAGCTTAGGCATTCTAAGATACTGGAGATGACTGGTGTAAATTCAGCAGAGAGAAAATAAACCAGCCTAGTTAGAAGCAGAAGGGCCGTTTTCAGGAAGAAAAAAGAAAACTGGCTAGTTAAGGTGTGACCAAATTTAAGAGGGTCTGGAATGACAGACTAAAAAGTGATTTTTCAACCGGAGAGAAATATATTTAAACCTGTGTTTTAAGAAGGTTAATACAGAAACAATAAATTGAAACAGCAGTGTCATTATACAAATACAAAAACAAACAAATCCTTAAAAAACCGAATTCTGCATTCACACAACTTTCACAACTACTTTCTCTTATTACCCCCGACCATGTAGCTATCCCGACATACACCTAACTTCAACTTGAATGTCGTGAGTTCTTCACCAATCACCCTAGCTTGCACTAGCTTAATGTCTTTTTTAATTATTTGCATGACTCCGGACTTGGTTCTGTTGCTATTAACAATTTGGTGTCCTTGGACAAGTCACTTAACCTCCTGGACCTTAATTTCTGAATCTGAAAGCACAAACACTACATATCTGCCTTGGCTACCTGCAAAAGATATTATAAAGCCAAATATAACCATATATGGGGAAAAAACTTAAAAACTCTCTTAATACTTGCAAATGACATATCATATAAAGGGCTAATATCCAAGATCTATAAAGAACTTATCAAACTCAACACCCAAAAAACAAATAATCCAGTCAAGATATGGGCAGAAGACACGAACAGACATTTCTCCAAAGAAGATACACAAATGACCAACAGACACCTGAAAAAATGCTCAACAACACTTGGCATCAAGTAAACAAATCAAAGAAAGAAAAAAAATGTATCCTTTAGGAAATAGAAATTGTGCACTGACATTGTGCAATGAGATATGGTATCTGATTGCACTGAAAATTGTGCAATGAGATACCACCTCACACCAGTCAGAATGGCTGAATTAACAAGTCAGGAAACAACAAATGTTGGCAAGGATGTGGAGAAAAGGAAACCCTTTTCCCATTTCCCACTGTTGGTGGGAATGCAAGCTGGTGCAGCCACTCTGAAAAACAGTATGGAGGTTCCTCAAAAAGTTGGAAACAGAGCTACCCTACGACCCAGCAATTGTACTACTAGGTATCTACCCCAAAGATACAAATGTAGTGACCCGAAGGGGCACCTGCACCCAATATGCATAGCAGCAATGTCCACAGTAGCCAAACTGTGGAGGGAGCCCAGATATCCATCAACAGATGAATGGATAAAGAAGATGTGGTGTGTGTATACACACACACACACACACACACACACACACACACACACACACAGGAATATTACTCAGCCATCAAAAAGGATGAATATTTACCATTTACATCAACGTAGATGGAACTGAAGGGTATTATGCTGAGCGAAATAAGTCAATCAAAGAAAGACAATTATCATACGGTTTCACTCATATGTGGAATATAAGAAATAGTGCAGAGGATCATAGGGGAAGGGAAGGAAAACTGAATCGGAAGAAATCAGAGAAGGAGACAAACCATGAGAAACTCTTAACTATAGGAAACAAACTGAGGGTTGCTGGAGGGAGGTGGAATGGGGGATGACGTAATTGGGTGATAGGCATTATGGAGGGCACGTGATGTGATGAGCATTGGGTGTTATATGCAACTAATGAACTCTACATCTGAAACTAATGATGTACTATATGTTGGCTAACTGAATTAAAAAAAAAAACCTCTCTTAATTTATATCCATGTTGTCTAACCCCGCATGATAGGGTCTACCAGCACAAAGAAATAACTTGATAAATGCTTTTTGGTGAGTAGAAGGAAGGAAGAAACCAAACACTGGTTTTCTTTCTGTTGGCTATCACAAAGTATAAAAAGAAAGAGGGGCGCCTGGGTGGCTCAGTCATTAAGCGTCTGCCTTCGGCTTGGGTCATGGTCCCAGGGTCCTGGGATCAAGCCCTGCGTTGGGCTCCCTGCTCAGCGGGAAGCCTCCTTCTCCCTCTCCCACTCCCCCTGCTTATGTTCCTTCTCTTGCTGTGTCTCTCTCTGTCAAATAAATAAGTAAAATCTTTAAAAAAAAAAAAAAAAAGAAAAGACGAATAGAAAAGTAATGGGGGAATTTATATCATAAACCTTCTAATTACACATTAAAACTCTAATATAAATAATATGTAGTTATAGTATACAAACTCACCAGTCTTCTCTTCTCTGATGAAACAGACCTTACACAACAAGCTGAACTAGTAGAACTTGAAGTTTTTTTCTCTGTCTTATCCTAAGAATGTCATTTGGAAAAAAGAAAAGCACAAAATAAAGCACATAAGACAGTGTTATTTAATCATTGTTATCATAAACTAACATTCTACATTCATAATAAACTTCAAGGGTGGGGGGAAATGTTTAAAGGCACACAAACTTTGGTAAGAGGGAGGGAAACTCAACTAGAAGGAAGACTCAAGTAGAAATCAGAAGATCTAGGCGCTCCTGAATTAGAGAGGAGACAGGACACAGGTGCTACAGCAGAGGGCCAGCTGACAGCTCAGATAAAGGCGTTGGGAGGAGGCATTGCCGTGGTGGAACTCAGTCTTCTACAAAGCAAAACCATATATCCAGTCATTTCCCAGGGGATCCAAACTTCAGCAGACCCAGGACAAACATATTTTGAGGACCTACCGTGTATCAAAGACATTCTAGACGGTGGGGACAGATTAATGAAAACAAAAGTCCCTGCCCTCCTGGAGGCTAAAATATCGAGCAGGAATTTACAAATAAACAAGTAATATATTTAGTGAGTCAGACAATGTGCTGGAAAAAAATAAAGCAGAGAAAGAGGACAGGAAGGGCTCGGAGGTGGGCATGGAGGCAGCTGCACTTTTAAACAGGGTAATCAGAAAAGGCCCCACTGATAAGCTGACATCTAACTGGAGACCTGAAGAACTGAAGAAGAAGCCATGTGACTATCTAGGGAAAGAGTTTTCCATTCAAGGGCAAAGCCCCTGAGGCAGGAATGTGCCAGGATTTATTGCTGGAATAGTAGCAAGGAACCACAAAATGGAGAAAGCAATGGGAGAATGAGAAGGAGGCCAGATGGGGAGGGCCAGCTGTTTTGCTGGCCCCAGCTAGGACTTCAGCTGTTACTCTGGGTGAAGTGGGAAAGTACCAGAAAGCACTGAGCAGAGGAGTGACATGATCTGACTTACATTTTAATAGGATCATTCTGGGGGCTTGTTGAGAAGAGAACAATGAGAGGCAAAGGTGGAGGCAGGGAGATAAATTTGGAAACTACTGGAATAATCTGGGGAAGCAAGCTGATTGTCTGGATCGTTGTGATAGCAGAGGAGGTAGTCGGACTCTACATTATTAAGAGAAAGCTGAGAGAATTTGCTGATAGACTGGATGCAGGTAGGGGATGACAACCAAGATTTTGGCCCAACCAAATGAAAGAATGGAATTGCAATTTCTAAATAGGGTAAATGAAGCCGGGCACTTGAAAGGTTATAGTTTAAGAAGATGAAGAGGAATCAGCAAAGGACATTTCAAAGCAGTCACTGTAAATGTAAAGGAAATGTAAAGGAAAATCAGGAGAATATGGTGTCTCAAAAGCAAAGTGAAGAAAATGTTTCAAGGAGAAGGTGCAATTGGCTATGTCAAATACTGCTGATGGGTCAAGTCAGAGGAAGTCTGAAAATTGACCGATGGATTTAGCAACATGGAAACCACTGCTGGCCTTGATGAAAGCATATGTGGAGGAGTGATGGCCTGAAAAAGTCTTATTCAAGTAGGTTAGGAGAGAATCGGAGGCGAACTGCAAACGGCATGCCAATTATTAGTGCCAAACTGGGGAATATATAAATCAGAGACACCATGATACTGTATGGCCATACTCCAGGATCCCCTTTCCTTTTTTTTTTTTTTTTAAAGATTTTATTTATTTGAGACACAGAGATACAGAGAGAGCATGAACAGAGGGAGAGGGAGAAGCAGGCTCCCCACTGAGCCAGGAGCCTGATGCGGGACTTGATCCCAGGACGCTGGGATCATGACCTGAGCTGAAGGCAGACGCTTAACCATCTGAGCCACCCAGGCGCCCCAAGGGTCACCATTCCAATTATCTCTATACCTGGGAGGCCAAATTAGTAATCAGAAAGTTAGTAAGCAAAGAACAAACACCAAAAAGTGTAATGATCCCTAGAATACTTTATCCAGGTCATCTAAAGGCCTCATGAACTCATCTGCTAGCACAGAAATCATTCCCTACTTCCATAGGGAATATTCACCTTTGCTAGACTTTAGTCTCTCATTGTGGATGGTATTACAGCATGAACATTGTCCAATTCTGATGATGCACTATACAGACTATTCAGAGAGTTTATAATAAAACTAATTGCAGGGGGTGGGGCGCCTGGGTGGCTCAGTCAGTTAAGCGTTTGCCTTCGGCTCAAGTCATGATCCCAGGGTCCTCGGATTGAGCCCCACATCAGGCTTCCTGCTCAGCGGGAAGCCTGCTTCTCCCTCTCCCACTCTCTCGCTGTCTCTGTCAAATAAATAAAAACTTGTTTAAAAATCCTTAAAAAAAACTAATTGCAGGGGTTTTTTTTGTTTTGTTTCATCAGTCACATTGCACTCTTGCATCCTGGAGACAACACTCAGCTCAATTAATTGAATATCCTAAATTTCATCTAGTAAAATACTTCTTAAAGCAGTGTGAGCATGCATTCCCTACCCTTAGCCTCCCCTGAACAGGAAAGCCCATTCTGACTGATGAGCATATAATCTTATTCAATGCTGAGTAAATGACAAAGGTGATGTGCAAAAAGGTCTACTGGTGAGTTATTTCTATGTAAAGGAGAATCTGGGGGACCTAGAGTCAAGTCAGGAATGCCTAGGCAAATTACTTACGTAAGCCTCAGTTCTGGCATTTGTAATAATTGGGATAATAATGGTACCTACCTCATACAGTTGTGAGCAATCAATAAAATGCAAGTAAAGAATGGGGGAGGGAGAATGGGAAAAACAAATTACTTCCCCTGGGTCAGAAGGGCAACACAAAACATTCACGTATCTCATTTACATATCTCATACACATCTACATAAAACTGAGGGGTTTTTTTTCATTACATAAAAATGAACCTCAAAAAAAGGTATCTTTGGGTCAGTAAATCAAAATGCTTACTTCTAAGTCAAAGTTGGGTGATGCAGGGGTGCCTTTTCTCCAAGACTTCTCTTTTTCGCCACAAGATTCTCTGTTGGACATTTTGAAAAGCTAAAATAAAAAACACATTAGGGGTTTTTTGTTTTAACCACCATCACAACAAAATACATCAGAAATTAGTCTTCTTTCAGTTTTATAAAGACTGGAGTTTTACAAAATGATTTCCATCTTATAACCATTCCGAAGACAACAGGATTCTCTCATTGTTCCACTTTATTTCACTTACAGTCTCCCTCTTAATGATCTCTTCCTCTCCTTCAATTTCATCTACCACCTTTTTAGGAATGACCTCTCAAAACTGTGCCTTTAGCCCTGACCTTCTCTCTCAAGCTTCAGATCACCATTTTCAACTGCCTATCGGACTGCTGTATTTTGCCCAGCCTATGCCTCAAAACCAATTCGTTCTTTTTTTTTTTTTTTTAAAGATTTTATTTATTTATTTAGCAGAGATAGAGCACAAGTAGGCAGAGAGGCAGAGGGAGAAGCAGGCTCTCCGCCGAGCAGGGAGCCCAATGCGAGACTCGATCCCAGGACCCTGGGATCATGACCTGAGCCGAAGGCAGCCGCTCAACCAACTGAGCCACCCAGGCGCCCCAAAACCAATTCATTCTAAGTCTTTATTTTCCTGACACACCCTCCATTCAACTTAGTGTGTAACAGAAGAATACTGTGCTGGAATCGAAAGGCCAGAGAATGGGAACCTCATCAGGTCTGCTGGGACGGGAAGATATAAAAGGAGTCTAGCAGCAAAGCCCAAAGGAGAGTTTATTGCTGATAGTGACACATATGGAAACTATGAATGTAAGAAAGGCTAGAAAACAGGCAATTTCAAGAACTCATGGTCAGTCGTGACCACAGTAAGTGAAGTCCTATAAAAGAATGATCAAATCAAACTTTTAGAATGGTTCGATGAATATAAAGAAAATGCTGACAGCTAAGAGAAAATCTAATAAAAATTAAAGAATATTTAATATACACTTCTAAGAACGATCCCAATTTACCCCAAAATTTTGCTTTGTAAGATAATGTATGGCAACAACTGAATTCACAGTTCAGCTTCCAGATTAGAGGAATAATCTTTTCTCCTTCTTCTTCCAAAGATTCTATTCCATGTTGGGGAAAGGTACAATAAAAATAATAATAAATTCTATGAAATGAACTGTTTAGAGGCAATGGACTACTTATGTTAACTTCTACAATTTAAACTGATCCACGTTCATCTTACGTTGTTGCTTTGAATACAAAATAAGGCTAAATTTCAACCTCTCAGCCATAAGCCAATTGAAAAAAAATCTCTGCAGATAGTGGACTATCAGAGGAAAAACACATATATGTTTACCATGACAAATGTTTTATAACAGTGTGAAATTCGTGATTTCATAAAAATCAAAGTATCAACTCAAAAGGGAGACTTCCTGAGTCGGCCAGCCTCCGAAGTGGCTCCTGATGATCTCTGCTGCCAGTTACACTCAGGTGAGTCCTCTCATACTAAATAATGCTGGCCTATGACACCAATAGGAACTGCCATATGGCAGTATGTGGCTAGGTCATATAAGACACTGTGGCTTGTGTTTTTCTCTCACTCTAGGGAAAGCCAGCCACCATATCATGAGGACAATCAAGTAGCCCATGGAACTGAAGCCCACTGCCAAAAAAGAACCAACTGCCAGGCATGTGAGCGGGCCAGCTTTGAAGCTAATCCTGCAGCCCTAATCAAGCCTTTGAGTGGAAGCATCCCTGGCTGATATCTTCACTGCAACCTCCTGAGACTCAGAACCAGGTCCACCCAGAAAGCCACTTCTGAATTCCTAAGGCACAGAAACTGTGAGGTAATGTTTATTGTTGTTTTAAACCACTAAGCTTTAGGATACCTTAGGCAGCAATAGATGAGTAATACAGTCACTTAATATAATCTTCAAACTTTGAAGATTCCTTTTTTTAGAATGTCTCAAGAGCACAGACCATGCTTAAAAATTCTTATTAAAATTCCCATAGAATCCACACGCTAAAATCTAACCCTTTTCATCTTCCGGTTTCCAGCTGGCGTTAAATAATGAGAGTGATACAGTGAATCAAGCTTTCAATTAACCATCTAGCCTTTTGGAAATAGAAAAAAAATCAATGACGCTTTGATGATGTACAAATATTATTAGCCACTACTCATTCCCGTAGATTATAACGTGTCATTTTCCATTTTTAACTGACTGTTAAGAGCAATGAGGCTGTTATACATTCAGGAAAACTAGTTAAAAGTTGGGGTGGGCTGAGCATGGCACTTAGTTTCTGCTGGGGTCCTAATCTCGGGCAGGTGGGATCAGCCCCGCCTCCAACTCAGCACTTGTCCAGGAGTCGGCTTGGGAGTCTCTCTCTCCTTCTCCCTCTGCCCCCTACCCCCACTCGCGTGCTATCTCTTAAAATAAATAAATATTTTTTTAAAGTTGAGGTTGAAGGCATTGAAGACTTTAGAACTATAACTCACCAGGGAAGGAGGGGGGGAAAGCCTACAGGTACACTTCCTAACTACTGGGGGGTTGGGAGGTGGTAACTAATTCTGTTACATTTTCAAAGTGCCAAATAATCACACTTGCTCTCACCTGGGCTCCGAAACAAGTAGGAAATAGACCAATGATATAGGTAGGCATTAAATATCAGCTTTATGAACTAGGAAAAACCCAGCTGGAAGTGTGAGTCTCCTAAGACTAAAAGGGGCTTCCCTCATCCTTCCCTGCTGCCTATAACATTCGGACCAGTCCGGAAAGAAAGAGCAGCCAGAAAACTCAAGTTTTCCTCTGCCTGCGCCAGGGGCATGAATGCGTGAGACTTAAGTTCAAGCAGGCCGGAGAGTAAAGGGAAGAGAAGTACGCGGGCCAGAGGACTCACTGGCAAACGCCGTGTAGAATCTGAATCGCATCAACCAGGTGCCGCAAAGCTCAACACACTCAGAGCTCTGGTTATTAAGTCTAACTACAAGCGTAGGGCGCGCGCACAAACACAGACTCTTCTCTACCCACAGAACCCCTACAACCACAGGGCAGTGCTGATGATAACAGGAATAAGTAAGTTAAAGCAAAATAAAGACAAAAGGAGACGTGTTCAGGTCACGGTGTGGATGAGGGTGCGAAAGGAAGCGCGGAGCCCGATTCCAAATCAACCAGACTAGCAAGGAAGCTAGTTAGCTGCTCGTAAGCCACCTCGGCCGAGGCTCCGCAGGAAGAACCAGACTCTCGCTCGGAGCGAGGGGCAACTCCAGAGGCAGAGCCGACCAGAACCACACCCTTCACTGAGCGGACTCAACCCCGGATCCGCCTACAGAGTCGCCCCGCCCAGGCTTGAGGGGCCTCTGGAATCCTCTGGCCGGCTGGCCCCCCGCTAGGATACTGGAGGGAGAGGTTGGGAACCTGCCCAGCAAAACGTCAACTAGCGCCCCAGTTACCTTACCAGCGCCCGCAGCGGTGGCGACTCCGGAGGCCCAGACCAAGAAAAAGGGTCCCCCCCCGACCCGATCCTCGCTGGGAAATGTAGTCCTGCACTCGGACCCAGACTACTACTCCGACGCTCCGAGCGTTTGTTTAGCTTTGCATTGACTTCCTCCAAGGATTGGAACTCCGGCTCCGCCCCAGCTGGCGCGCTGCACCCTGGGTACTGTAGTCTTGATTCGCTTCCTTGGTTGACGGCTGGAACGGAGACGCACCGCGGAAGCAGAACTCTCTTATCTCATTGGACGCCGTCCCTACTACGTTTCTGCGCAGGCTGTGGTGGCGTCGTAACGCCTCGGGGAAAGGGAAGCGGATGGGACTGCGAATCGCTGCCTCTGGCTTTTTGTTTTTCTGCTGACAGGATTTGGTCACTGGTTCTTCATCTTTTGTCTGTTGCACGCATCCAGCCCTTCCCATTTGCTTTCCCACTCCTTGGATCCAGCCCTCTGGGCATTCACGCCAGTTCTCTCACCCCGCCGTGAGCCCCTCCTGGTCCCCGGGCGGGCCTGGCACGGAGGCGGTAACTATGGAGAATATGGCGGAGGAGGAGCTGCTAACGCAGGAGAAGGAGGAGGTGGAGGTGGCCCAGGTCCAGGTCCCGACCCCGGCCCCGGACTCGGATCGGGTCCCAGCTCCCGCCCCGGATTCGGCCCCGGCCCCGGACTCGGCTCCGACTCCGGCCTCGGCTCCAGCCCCAGCCCCTGCCCTGGCCCAGGCTCCGGCCCTGTCCCCGTCCCTAGCCTCTGCCCCTGACGAGGCTGAAAGCAGTAAGTGCAGGAGGCCTAGATCTTTCTGCCGCAAAAGAAGCGAGAAAGTGCGCCTTGCTGGGGAGTAGGGGAGGCCCTTCTTCACTGGGATGGTTTAATGGGGAAAGGCAGGTTTAGGGATGTGGGGGGAGGAAGGAGGGACCCGTGTAGTGGGTAAAGCGGGTACAGAATGGGAGAAGGCACAAACCTCGAGGACATCATGGTGAGGAATTTGTGGAGGCCAGGAGTGCTGCAGATAAAAGGAAATAATGAGCTTGAGGGCTTCTTCGTTAAAGGGGGTCTTTTTGTGCTACGAAGATAGAAATTACACTAATTTGGTAGTTTCCCTCTCAGCCCCGTCTGCCATGGTTCACTAAAATCCTTCAAAATGTGACATGGTAACTAAGGCAGCCTGTTTACTGTAGTAGATCCTAGCTGCCAAGACTTAGAAACCATTGCTATCAACTAGTTTTTATGCTCGATATACACAAATAGATGGGTTTTTCTTATTATTTAATTTTCTTTAGCAGCTTGCTTCCAAAAAGAATTTGAGGCTGATAAGTAGTTTAAGAAAAGATCGACTAAATTATGGATGTCTTCCCTTAGTCATAAATATCAATTGAGTTTTGCACTCCGTTCCATCAGAAGTGGACTGTTGAAAATTAATAGCCCGTGTTACTGTGCTAATGTATGTGTTTGCATGTTTTCTAAGTGGTGATTTATTGGACCATAAAGAGAAACCCTTAAGAATCTTCTGAACACTTTTAAGTGTAAGGTCTAAGAAAATTTTTTTTTTTAATTATTTTGTGGTCCATAAATTGACCCTTATGCTCTTTCTGAATTATAACAAAATAAATTAGTTCATTTTCTTTCCTACTTCTAGGACAGTTGCGAATTTAATATTTATACAACACTTGGGTAGTTGTAGTCTAATAGAGTTACTTTGAAATTTTAAAGCCACATAAAAATTGTTATAGTAGATTAAAGAGTAGAGCTGACTGGGTCTCAGTTTCCTCATCTGTAAATTATGGGGAAATTAATTAAATGATTTAAGTCCTTTTTAAAAAAAGAGTAGAGCTGATCACAGAAAAGACAAAGAAGGCATGCCTCAGGTATGCCTCTCCTCATATAAGATCAGAGCTAGTAGGTGCAAAATAAGGACAGTAGTTTCTTCACCCACAACAACGGGGGGGGGGGGCGGTGGTACACTCGCCTGCCCTCCTCACCTCTAGATTGAATTTGTTTGTATTAATCAGAATTAGTTCAGCAGCTTTAGGGAATGTGTGCTTTCTCCACCTCCCCACCAGCAAGAATGTTAAACATAGTTTGGGAAGATATATATTCCAAAATTTAAAGTATGTAATTTGAAGAATGTATGATGTTTGAGAAACCTGAAAAATGCATTACTGGGGCAAATATGTAATGATTGAGAAATCTGAAATGCATTAGAAATATGTATTAATCACATTTTTAAAAATTATTTTTATGTGGTCTAGTTAGTCCTTTGAAATCAGTCTTAACTAGGCAAGATGAAGATGGCATATCTGAAGTAGAACTGAAAAATGAGGAAAAAGTATCAGAAGTTGTAAAAGAACCTTCTAGCATCTTGGATTCATCTGATTTAACAAAAGGTTTGCCTATTGACTTCGGGATTATTAGTATGTTACAAAAAGTTTGATATAAGTACATATTGTCTGATATCTACTATCTTGAAACAGAAGGTGATTTGAGAGGTATACATACATAGGCATATCATGAATCCTTAGATCTTTGAGAGTTTTAATAGTGGACCACAGGATTTTCATTGTTCTCTTCTAACTTACCAGGCCCCTGTCTCTTATTTTGTACAACTTAGAATGATTTCAGTAAGCACAGGCTTATATAGTACTATATAATTTCACATAAACAGAACTTTGAACTCTGGAAGCCAAAAGCCTTTATGATTACAAATTCAAAGGATTGATTTGTACACATGGGTTCATTGCCTGAATCTTGCGGTCTCACCTAGCAATTAAGTTTTTGCTCATAAGGGAAAAGTTTGCCTATTATAGAAATTATATCTTATTATAAAGTTATTTGAATAATACCTAGTATGACAAGTTAAACAAGATTTGTTGCTCTTTGTTTTTCTCATTTAAAAATGAGGTAAAAATTTGTCTTTTAATAAATTTCAGCAGTAATGTCCGATAGTGCTGAATTCCAAAATTATTGACTCCGTGTGCTGCTGCATCCAAAAGACCAATGATTTTTTTTTAAATTATTTAACAAACCATAGTGCCGGCTGTGTGCAAGATACTGTTCTAGGCACTTAGCCCTTACAAAAATGAGGAATTCATATCGCCTGCCGCTTACTGTTTATTTGTGCGGGAAACAAACAAGGACACAAATTATATAGAAGGGTGAAAAAAAGGAACTGGGAGCGAAGCTTGGAAAGGAATAGGCATGAAGGTAGCAATACCAAGAACAGAATTTAAAAGGTTTTTAAGGTTCTAAACTGTATAACCTAATTGAATAATGAGTACTAGAGAGCCCTATGGTTTACCATCATCTCTCTGGTTGGGGATCTTTTCCTGCCAATTTTCAGCTCCTAGTCTTCTTGTATTTATATATTCAAGCTCCTACTTTGTAAACATTACTTTCCTTTGGGTTATGGATATTCACGTCTCTCCTTAAAAAGAAAGAAAAAGCACGATCTATCTGCTTTTTTATACTGCCACACTTTTTGAAATCTATGTGATTTTCTATATTTCTTCTTCCAATCCCATTTGTATTCTGGAACACCTCACTGAACCTTTTTTTTCTTTTTTTTTTAAGATTTTATTTATTTATTTGACAGACACAGCGAGAGAGGGAACACAAGCAGGGGGAGTGGGAGAGGGAGAAGCAGACTTCCTGCTGAGCAGGGAGCCTGATGTGGGGCTCGATCCCAGGACCCTGGGATCATGACCTGAGCCAAAGGCAGACGCTTAACCGACTGAGCCACCCAGGCGCCCCTGAACCTTTTTTCTTAAAGGTCACTGGAGACCTGATAAATACTAAATCCAGTAGTTTTCTGTTGATTTCTACAACTATTTGTGATACTTAGTGTTGAACAGTTATCTTTTATGTTCTCTCTTTTCTTGGCTTCTGCCTTATCTTGATTCTCCTTACCTTTTATTGTTTTTGAATCTACCCTCATTATTTTTCCTCAGTGTCTCTTACATTACCTACATCCCTCCATATGTCATTTCTGAATTGTAACCATTTATATTAATCAGTAGTGGGTTTAGTGGCATTAGGGAATGCATCCTCCATGCCCATAATCAAGAGTATGTTAAATGTACTTTGGAAAGATTTATTCATATATTCCAAAGTTTACAAATATTTGAAGAACGTGTAATGTTTGAGAGACCTAAAAATATGTTACTGGGACTGGATTTTGGCCTTTTTCTTCTCTTTTTTTCACAATGTTTTTTTCCTTAGGCTTTCTTCAACTCCTAGTTTCACCTACCATGTATTTATGATTTATATCCCTCCTGAACTCCAAAAACAACTCAACTGCATACTGAACTTGAGGATGAGTACTAGTAGTACATCAAACACACTATGTCAAAAACTAAATTCCTTTTTCTCCTTTCCTCTTTTTTTCTGCCAAAAATGTTTTCCTCTTCCTTTATTGGTTAATGGTACCATTACTCTCAACCATATAAACTTGAAATCTTAGAATCATTCTTGAACGCACTCTTCATTCATGGTTATTTCTCATACCCAAAGTTCTTTTTTTTTTTTTTTAAACCATCTGTTCGGTACCTTTGTATTCCTAACTTCTCACCTCAGTTATTGATCTTTGGTTCTATAGCCAGACATAACCTGAAATGCTTTCAGATCCTACCATTCACTCCCTCAAAAACCTACAAAGACTTCACATTGCCGGAAGAGGACAGTCCAGACTAACTTACATAGAATTTAAGCCTTTCATGATCTGTACATTTTTGGCTGCTTGTTCTTCTACCACTTCCATTCTCCAGTTATACTACATTCCAACAGGGATGGGATAGAGGTGGCTGTATTTTTTTCTACACCTTATGCTTTTCATGAGATTACTTCAGTTTATAAGGCCAGCCACCAAGTCTCTGCGTATTGAAATTCTATTCATACCTTATATCACAGTCAAATGCCACTTTTTTAGTGAAGACATTCTCAAAGACACTTGTTGGGATTAATTCCTCCTTCCTCTGTATGCCCACAGCATATTACTTTACCCCTGGTATTCATTTCATCCTGCATTGTATTACAATTAGTAGGTAACATATCAATATCTCTCTCGCCTGTTGAAAGTTATTTTTTGACAGAGAGAGACAAAACGAGAGAAGGAACACAAGCAGGGGGAGTGGGAGAGAGAGAAGCAGGCTTCCTGCTGAGCAGAAAGCCCAATGCGGGTCTCAATCCTTGGACCCTGGGATCATGACCTGAGCCGAAGGCAGACGCTTAACGACTGAGCCACCCAGGTGCCCCTGTTGAAAGTTCTTTAAAGATAGGAAATGTGGCTTATGTTTCTTACTTCAGCATTTTGTACAGAGTAAAAACATTTTTTTGTAGAATTATATTGAATAATTAGATAAAACTTTAAAGGTGTGAAGTTACACAGTGGAGTTTGTTCCCCAACTTCTTGCATTGTGAGACACGCTTGTCATTTTATAGGCAGAATTGCAGCAGTATACCCCATCTAGGCACTAGGGCACAATGCTACAGGAAATAAAAGTGGAGTGTCTGTGACGTGATCAAATAAAAATAGAACTGGAATTCAGACTGTTAACACATAATCTTCTAACTCTTAAAATTTCCTTTCAGAGAGACACATCTCAATCCAGAGGCAGCTTGCTGATCTAGAGAAGTTAGCCTTCGTAGCTGAAGATTTTGACTCTGCCAGTTCATTGAACTCAGATAATCTTGATGCAGGTATTTCCATATTTTTAAGGTTTTTTTCCCCCTTAATTTCTGTTGGCTTTTTATGTTTCAACTCATGAAAATTTGCTGAGAGTAGACTTGTTTATTGCCACTGAACTAGAGCAATAATAAAACTTTTTCATTCAGGAATTTGGTAGCCTTCTACATTCACAGGTGCTGTGGGGACAAGTTGTTTCACAGTTCCTCAAGGAAATTACAATTTCATGGATATATAAGGACTGTGTCTTCTATAAGTTAGGAATTGCATTTAGCTATAAGTAACATCCAAAAAACAGTGCCTTTAATAACAAGAGGCTTATATTTGGTCATGTAAACAAAGTCCCCAGGTGGGCAGTTTAAGGCTGGAACAAGAGTTCCTCATTGTTGTCAGGCCTCAAGCTCCTCCAGCTCCTCTCTTACTGTCTTGCCATCCTTAGTGCTTGAATTCCATCCTCAGTATCACTTCATGGTTTTTTGAAGTAAGCAGAGTATATTGAAAAATTAATTTTGACTATACTTGCAGTGTGCTATATATTAAAGATATTTGTTAGATTAAAAATTAAGTGAGTTGCTGATTATTTTTGTATATTTTTATCATTTTAAACCTGAATGTGAGATTTTAATTTTTTTGTTACTATCAAAGTTTTTATTTGAGATATATTACATTTCTGAATAAGACTTCTATTTTTACAATCCATAATCTTTTCATTAATAAAGAAGGAAGAACTTAGAAATTCAGTAATAGGGTACGGTGGCTCTAACCATGCTCCCTGGCCCAGAATAGCAGTTATCTGGGATCCCACTTACTCCTTTCACTCCTTCCATTTTTCTTACTCTGCATGTTCACTGTTTTTGTTGCTGCAGAGCAGGTGCTTACACTGTCTGCCCTGCTCCTGCCTCTCTGGGAACGTGACAGGTACTGCCTTCTCCCCTGTCCAAAGTACACAGTGATGCTCTCTCTTGCAGGCATTTTGGCTGGAGGGATATCATGTACTTTATCACTTTCTCATTTTCTCTGTTCCAGTGGCAACAAAGATATCAGCTAGCCTCCCTCCCCCCAAAAAAAGATATCAGCTAGCCCCAGAGAGGAGAGTTTTAGGGTAAAAAAAATCAATCACTGACCATGTGCTGATTATTAACTACTACCTGTTGAGGCAGAGGTGACTCTCCCTAATGTTAACATAGACATTATCTGAGAAGTGTGTGTGTTGGGTGGAGAGAGTCCCCTGCTACTTCTTTTGTAGTTAAATCGAGGCATTAATAGTCTATTCTGTGTTTTATTGGTTCTTTTTTTTTTTTTCCCCCCGGTCAGGAAACAAACAGTCTTGTCCATTGTGCCCTAAGGAGAAATTCAGAGCTTGTAATAGCCATAAGCTTCGTCGTCACCTTCAAAATTTACACTGGAAAGTCTCAGTTGAATTTGAAGGTTAGTATTTTTGTGCTTGCTAAAAAGTAAATGAGTCAAGATTTGATAGAAGTTTTGGAATTTTATTGTGAACATAAATATTTTCCATTTAAAATTATGAGGGATTTAATGTCCTTTTAATGTATTTCTTAGTAAATGACCATGTAACTCTCTAGGCAGTAGATGGGTGTTGCAAGTGTAGTTTACTCTAGCAAACATTTTTAAGCTTCTGTTCCATACTGGGTACTTTGCTTGGTCCTGGGGGTCCCCATAACTTTTTGTACTATGTTTTATTTTTTTAAGATTTTTATTTCTTTATTAGAGAGAGAGAGAGAGAGAGCAAGCACAAGCAGAGGGAGAAGCAGGTTCCCCACGGAGCAAGGAGCCTGATGCAGGACTTGATCCCAGGACCCTGGGATCATAACCTGAGCCAAAGGCAGAGCTTAACCAACTGAGCCACCCAGGCGTCCCTGAACTATGTTTTAAAAAGTTATACTTTTTCTTTTATGTTAGAATAACTACCATCTGACACATAATTTTGAAAGAGTAATAAATGCAAAACAAAATAAAATATATGGTATGGATATTGGAAAAAAGACAATGTCTTTTTTTCTGCTGATGGCTGAAAAAGATTAGAGTTAGTAAGAGTAGTGGGATATAAGATAAATATTTGAAATCATAACCTTTCTCTACTCTATATAAATGGAAATTAGAAAAAAGCACCAATTATAGTAGTGACAAAAATGACACAATTTGGGGGACTAAATTTAATAAGAGGTCTCATAAAGAATAAAATTAAAGAAAAAAAAATGAGATCGTACCAAGTTAAAAGACTTCCTAGATAAAATCAGTTATTAGATTCTGAGAGTGAATTATGTGAATTATTATAGCATTTTTGGAAAGAGATCTCACAACATTTTTAAAGTTTAAAAAACGCTTATCTCTCCACCAGGTACTCCCTCTTTTGGGAGTAAAAGAATCAGTTGATAAGGATAGATGTACAAGAATATTCACTGCAGCATTTACTTAGTGACAGAAACTTGAAACTAAAATAAAAGAGGGTTGGTTGACTGTATTATGGTGTGTACATACCATGAAATATTATGCTGCCATTGTAAGGAGTATATATTAGATCTATACTAGCTTACTTGGAAGGATTTCCACTATAAACTGCTATTGAAAACAGCGTGTGTGTGTGTGTGTGTGTGTGTGTGTGTGTGTGTGTGTGTAAGATTTTATGATACTACATTTAGATAAAAACAAAAAATGCCCTAAATATCCATGTTAAGCATATGCATACTTATATTTGTATATGATTTTGTGAGCATAGGTGTTGCTAAGTGTGGTTATCTGGAGTTTTAACCAAACTGGATGAAATAGCCGGTATGAGACACCCAGAAAAGAAGTCAGAACTATTTTCTTAGTAGTACTGGTAAAACGTTATCACTAGTTACTTAGGGAAAGGGGAATTAGAGACTAAATCAGAGGCTGTCCTGTCTTTTATGTTTAATTATTTATAAGAAAGTGTAGTAAATCATGTCTTTTTATCAAAAAGTTCTTTTTGTATTCTTTATTTAAGCCATTGTTTAACCCTTAGGTTAGTCTTTGTCTTCTGAGTTATTCTCATCTCTTAAATGGTTCATGGCATTTCTTTACTTTCTTAAGTACATTAAATTGTTGGGTTTTTTCACATGGTGGTGATCTGGTAGATGGCAAGTATCACAGTTTTTGTTTTAGCAAGCAAGTCTCAAGTAGTTGGCAAATATGTTTAAGGTAGAAGCAATAAGACCTGCTGAAGGAATAGAAAAAGTGAGATGTGAGGGGAAATAAGCTAATAATGCTTGAGCTTGAGACTTGAGCAGCTATAAAAATGGTGGTATCCTTTGCTGAGCAGAGAAGACTGCATCAGGTCCAGGTATGGGGGAAAAGGCCAGGCCTGCAGATTTAGGCGTGCAAAGGTTTAGATGCATCTCCTGGAGATGTCAAGTAGCCTGTAGAATCTTGAGTTTGGGGGAAAGGTTGGGACTAGAGATATACGTTTGGGAATTCTTAGAATATAGATGGTATTTAAAGCCATAAGACTGGATGGGATAGGGCGCCTGGGTGGCTCAGTTGGTTAGGCGACTGCCTTCAGCTCAGGTCATGATCCTGGAGTCCTGGGATCTAGTCCTACATTGGGCTCCCTCCTCAGCGGGGTGCCTGCTTCTCATTATGACCCTTCCCCCTCTCATGCTTCTCTCTCTTTCTCACTTTCTTGCTCTCAAATAAATAAAATAAAATCTTGAGAAAAAAAGATGGGATGGGATAACCATAGGAGTACATATCAATGGGAAGAAAAAAAAAAAAAGGTTGCTGCATCCTGGGATACTTCCATACGTACAAGTAAGAGAAACAATTAGATGCAAGGTATGAGAAGAAAGGAGTTAGAGATCACTTAACAGTTAGGACAACTGGAAGGCATTATCATTTATTTAAAAAATGAAAAAGAGACCTGGTTCAAGACGAAATGATGTATTTAGTCCTTGACTGATTTTGAAATACCCGATAACCCAGTGGTACATCCTCAACAGGCAATCAGAAATAGAGATCCAGTCCTCAGGAAGGAGTTAGTAACTAGAGCTAGAATTTGGAATTCCTTCCCCCAGGGGAGATAGTTGCAACCATAAAAGGCATTAAAGTTACCAAGGAAATGAGGAGGAAAAGTCATGTAGCAGATCAAGCCTATAGAAAATCTACCTTTTAGAGTAGAAGAGAGAGAAGAGGACGTATGAGGAAGATGGGAGAGAACTAAGTGCCATATCATAAAGAGGCTGTGTAATGGGCAAAGGTAGTATGAGGCAAAGAAGGTGAAGCCTAAGAAAAAGTCACAATGTCAGAGAATAGATGATAAAGTTGAGTCCCAGAGAAGCTAAATGACAAATCCAAGATAACACAGTCTTGGCAGAACCAGAATTCAAACCTGGATCTCATATATTTGTTTTTGTACTATATCTTGTATAACAAATATATAAAACTAAGTCTCATTCAAATAAATTATGACCTTATAAATAAAAGAAGAATCCAGTTATTCTTACAAAATAAAATTTGCTAATAATTTTTAATGATAATTGAATATTTAATGAACAGTGATATGACAACCATCAATTCTTCACTTTAGGTTACAGGATGTGCATCTGTCACTTACCTTGTCGACCAGTGAAACCAAACATTATTGGAGAACAGGTAATCAGATGTTAGATTTCTTTTTAAATTTAGCCCTCTTTAAAGAAAGCACAATTTTTACTTCGCTTTAAGGCTGTGGGTATATTTGGCAATGAGGTTTACTTTAAGATTTTGTATCTTGAGTGCTTTCAGAATATCATAGCATAAAAAATATGAAATATATGAAAAAATGTTGCTGTATTGAACTTTTCATTTTATAGTTTTTAATTTTCAGATAAATTTTTTCCTTGTGTTCAAAAGGAAAGTTACCCTGTTTACTAATTTTGGAATGGAGAATTTAAATAAAAAGTAATATTTTTCTTTTAAAATAAATTTTGATTATGGAATAAGAGCCTTCAATATCTGCGATTTAGTAAATATCTCAGTATGTCAATTCGTATTTACCTTCTTTATGCTCTTTCTTTTAATCTGTCAATGGACAGAATCAAGAAACTTTCTGAAATCTTAATAATATCTTTAAAAGTACTTATGTTCATTTTTAGGATACATTTAACTTTGGGGGGATACAAATTACAAAATATTTTTTAGTAATACTATCCTGAATGCATATTAGCTTAAGAAGTCCTCGTTATTAATTTTTTTTCAGGTCACTAAAAAGAGTAAAGTGCTGGGAGAAAAAAACCCAAGCATTTCTTAAGCAGTAGTCAGGACATTGGTTGGTCCATCAACCCTATCCAGGACATTTTGAATCTCATAATGACAGTACTACAAGGAACCCTATGCAATGTTCTCGACTATTCTCTATTTCCTGTTTGAGCCCAAGTAAATAGGAGGTAGAAGCTCTAAGGGTAAAAGGCATCAAAAGTAGGAAAAAGCCATTGGAGTAGTCTTTTTATTCTCAGCTAAATGAGAAATTATAAAGTGAAAATTTTTTACTTGGACTATTAGACTTTTTATTACGTTTCTAACATTCAGTGGTATGGTGAAACTAGCTCGTATTTCTAGAAACCTTGAAAGCTGGTTGTTAAAAATGGCCATCATTAAAAATTAAATTGTATAAATTTCAAAGTGCATAAATTATATTACAAACAAAGGTAGTGAGTACTCAAATCTCATTACTTCCTGATATTTATTTTACTATTGTCTGCGTTCTTTATAAATATATTATATCTGCATGGTAACCATGCTCTCTAGTAGGATATTACACCTCTCTTCCCAGACTCACATTCAGTGATGTCACATCAGTAGCTTGAAATCTGACACAATTGTAACTTAAAGTTGAACATGGTAGAGTACACATACCACAGAAAGCTGCAAACGTTATAAATCAGGACGTTATTTTCCTGGAGAAAATTGTTACACAGTGCTGCTAATTTTATGCCATTTTTATAGGTGCTACTTATAGAAAATAGAGTACAGTTATGTGCTGACTAGAATGAATGGGAAAAACAAATTAAAGTTTTGGTCAATTATAAAGTAAGTAAAAAGCATACATAAATATAGATAAGGAAGTGAAGATCCCTTCAAAGTCGGATGGCAATATTAATACTATCTTCTACACCATTAAGCCCAAGATAGACTAAAATACTTAAATTTGCAATCTTAAATTTCTGTTTCATTGTCTTAGTAACTTATCTGTACATTTAAATTAAATACTCTGTTTGATAGATATCCAGTAAAATGGGCGCCCATTATCATTGTATCATTTGTTCAGCAACAATCACCAGAAGGACCGATATGCTGGGACATGTTAGGCGACATGTGAATAAAGGAGAGACGAAATCCAGGTATATTGCTGGTAAGTTGATCAATCTCATTAACATAGGTTGATAAGTAAATCCTTAAACAGTGGTCCAGTTATTCTTCTCAGACATCAGGTAGATAAAATATAGGAACTTAACCAAATCATTTAGTTAACTACTAATCCATTACTTCAGGTTTCGTTTTCTTTCTGTGAGGCTCCCAACAACATTCAACTGTCCTCAGTTTAACAAATATATTTAATGTGGGTAAAAAAAGTAATTGATGCCAAAGTAAACATAGGTATCTTAATGAAAGATTATATATAGCTATGTTATACTTACTGTTGAAAAACACTCGAAAAAGGAAGTAGAGTTATATAAAGACCATTTATTATCCTGAAGTGATAATCAGGTTATTAATAGCTTATTATTACTGAAGCAGCCCCTCTTAAGAATTAACGGGATGCCTGGGTGGCTCAGTTGGTTAAGCATCTGCCTTCGGCTCAGGTCATGATCTTAGGGTCCTGGGATCGAGTCCCACATTGGGCTTCTTGCTCAGCAGGCAGTCTACCTCTCCTTCTGCCTGCTGCTCCCCCTGCTTATGCGTGTACTCTCTCTCTCTGACAAATAAAATCTTTAAAAAAAAGAAGACCTCATGCCCTAAGGTATCCATTGTATGTAATGAATTAATTTCTCTCATATACATCTAGAATGGTATTATGTAACTTTCTTTCAAGAATTGAAAAAAATACTGAAATAATTTTCTATAGAGCTTAATATTTTCATAGAATCTGGTTTGAGAAAGGCTGATCTTTTGAGATACGTCACATGCCACTTTGGTAGGTGTAGAAGAATATAAAATACAATGCTAGGGAATGTTAACTGATTTGGCACTGTAAAAAGGGAAATATGGTTGCCATGTAGTTAACATTCTGATTATAATATTATCAAGAAATCCATACATTAAGAATCTATTTTTCCCCACAGAGATATATATGTCTCATTTCTTAAATATTTAAAATATACACACACAAACACATCAGTATTTCATTTGGGTTCATATCTAAATGATTCTAATGTATACTAAATGTAGAGTCTTTTTTTTCCCCCCATTACTTCATACCCATTTGAATATAATTTGTGTTTTATAATTGTAGTTATATGAAAGTGTTCTGAAATCAAGCATGTTCAGGAAGTATAGTGATTCTTAGTCATCCGTGATGGCCTATGGAATGAAACAGAGATCCTAACTTTATAACCATTATATCACAGTAAGATATATTTAGCAGCCAACCTATGTAAACACAGTATAGTGGTTGATGAACAATAAAGGTATTTTAGGATTTTGTTTTATTTATTTTTTTTAAGATTTTATTTATTTGTCAGAGAGCGCACGCACAAGCAGGGGAGAGTGTCAGGCAGAGGGAGAAGCAGGCTCCATGATGAGCAAGGAGCCCAATGTGGGACTCAGTCCCAGGACCCTAGGATCATGACCTAAGCTGAAGGCAAACGCTTAACCGACTGACCCACCCAGGAGTAGGGGTCCCAGATTTTGTTATTTTAGGCTTATTGTTCTTAACTAGGTTTCGTAATACAGATATATTGATGTTCTTGGCAGATAAGATTTTAACTTAATAAACTTTAATTCACCAAATACTTGAGTGCGACTCTTTCCTAGAGACAGTACTGAATAAATCAGTTTTGGGTTGTTTTTCTTTTTTCGTTATTTACGTAATTGATTACATTAACAAAGTATTATAAAAGAAAGTTATTTCTTTTAATGTGTATTGTTTTAGATATTTAGAATTATTGTATTTCACTGGAAATCTTTTTTTTTTTCATTTTAGCTTCTGCTGCAAAACCACCTAATGAAATTTTGAAAGAGGCAGACACAGATGTACAAGTTTGTCCTAACTATTCTATACCTCAAAAAACAGATTCCTATTTTAATCCCAAAATGAAACTAAATCGGTAAGATAAATTGGAAAAAGGGTTATGGGATGTTTCAAATTATTACAGATTACCTTACCTTAATCTTTATGTTCTAATATAGTGAAATTTAAAACTAGGTACAGAGTGAAAATCATCTGTTTTAGTATTTTCTCAGAATGATTGTTTTCTTTTTTCCTACCAAACTAATTTCTTTCTCAGAGTAAAATAGGCCTAACTTTATATAATTAATGAACAGGCTGGTGCTTTTGTAGGCAGTTTTATTTATGAAATCATTATTCATGGTGAATGCTTGTTTATAAAACCCAGTTAGATTGATAGTTTAATTTCACAAATGTTTAGTTCTTGTACTACTAGGAAAGGAATATATTACTCGGTCTTCTTTTAAAACAGGTCGTACAGTAAATAGGAGCCCCAATTCTCACTATTCTTTTTTTTTTTTGAGAGAATGTATGAGCACGAGGTCGGGGACGGGCAGAGGGAGAGGGAGAGAGAATCCTAAGCAGACTTCACATGCTCCTCTGAGCCCAGTGTGGGGCTTGATCTCACAACCCTGAGATCATGACCTGAGCCAAAATCAAGAGTTAGGACGCTTAACCGACTGAGCCATCCAGGCTCCCCATCTCACTATTCTTAAATAAAATAAAATCTACAGTGATGAAGCCATGGTACAGTAAAATTGTTTCAAATCATTATACTTTCTTCTAGGCAGCTAATATTCTGTACATTGGCTGCTTTGGCTGAGGAACGAAAACCTTTGGAATGTCTAGATGCCTTTGGAGCCACTGGTAAGTAATGCTTTTTTTGGAACCCCACTTTAATTATCAGATTTATGCAGTATTTTTTCTTAGAAATTTATATGGGTATTCTATCTGGCAGAATATTTTGATTAAGAACCAAAACTTAAAGACCCATATATTTGAAATTTTGTGGAAAAATTTCGAATATATACAAAAGTAGACTATAATAAATGAATCCTTTGCTATCACTCAACTCCAAAAATTATCAACTTATGCTTGTTCTTGTAGCTGTATCCCATACACTTTCCCTCATAATTTCTTCCACCATCCTTTATCCCCCTTATTTTGATACGAATCACTGATACGTTATTTGATCTGTAAATATTTCAGTTAGATCTCTAAAAGATAAGCATTTTTATTTATCTTTTTTAGGATTTAAAAAAAACCATGATACTATTATCACATCTAAAAAAATTAAGAATACTCTTAATATCATCAAATGTTAAATATGCCCAATTATCTCAACAGTTTTAAAAAATCAAGTAGGAATTCAAATAAAGACTGTATTTCATTGTTTGATATGTCTAAATCTCTTCTTAATCTATATTCACTTCCATCATTTTGTTTGTATGTGTGATAATTATTTGTTGACATACAGCTTGTTTGCCTTGAAGACTTTTCCAGAGTCTAGATTTTTGCTGATGGTATCTCCATGATTCTTATAACATGTTCTTCTGTCTCCTGTATTTCTGTAAATTGGTAATTGGATTTTCAGGTTTGATCAGTTTCAGATAAGATTTTCTTTTATTCAAGAATACTTGTTCCCTGCAATCAGGAAGTATTGATGTTTGGTTGTCTTTCTTTTTTTGTGATGCAGTAAACTGCCTAGTCATTCGGCTGTGGGGTGAGAGGGAATTTTAAAGACTAAGAACATTTTTCCCAAAAGAACTTAACAGTAAAGAAAAGGTAACAGGAAGGGTAGAAAATTTCTAAGAAGCCATCTGTATGTAATCCAAGTCATTCTTACAGGTTTTAAGAGTATATTTTGGGGAATTTTGTAACAAAAGGATGAAAACAGGAGTTAACTGTGCTTTTTAAGTTCCTCTTTGCAGGGAAAAGTAGTGGTTAAAAGCAATTTAATATCTTGCATAATTTGATCCCAACCTACTTTTCCAAATTTAATTCCCAGCATTTTCTCTTACACACCCTTTTTCTTTATTTTCTTTTATTTTATTTTTACATTTCATCTATTTCACCCATCCCGCGACCCACCTCCCTTCTGGCAACCAATTTGTTCTCTTTATTTAAGAGTCTGCTTTTTTCTGTGTATTTTGTTTCTTAAATTCCACGTATGAGTGGAATCATTGTATTTGCCTTTCCCTGTCTATTTCACTTAGCATTATACTCTCCAGGTCTGTCCATGTTGTTGCAACTGACAAGATCTCATTCTTTTTTTATGGCTGAATAATGTTCCATTGTGTATGTATACTGTCTTCTTTATTCATCTATCAATGGATACTTGGGTTGCTTCTATATCTTAGCCGTTGTAAATAATGCTGCAGTAAACATAAGGATGCATATATATTTTTGAATTAGTGTTTTCATTTTCTTTGGGTAAATACCCAGTAGTGGAATCACTGGATCATATTCAATTTTTTTTTCTTTGAGGAAACTCCATACTGGTTCCCACAGTGGCTGCAGCAATTTACATTCTCACCAACAGCGAATGAGGGTTCGTTTTTCTTTGCATCCTCACCAACTGTTGTCTTTTTTCTTTCTTAATTATTTCTATTAACATATAATGTATTATTTGTTTCAGGGGTACAGGTCTGTGATTCAACAGTCTTACACAATTCACAGTGCTCACCATAGCACATACCCTCCCCAATGTCCATCAGTCCATCATCCAGTCCCCCCATCCCTCCTGCCTCCCTCCACTCCAGCAACCTTCAGTTTGTTTCTTGAGATTGTCTCTTATGGTTTGTCTTCCTCTCTGGTTTCATCTTATTTCATTTTTCCCTTCTTTCACCTATGATCCTCTGTCTTGTTTCTCAGTTCCTCATATCAGTGAGATCATATGATAATTGTCTTTCTCTAATTGACTTATTTTGCTTACCATAATACCCTCTAGTTCCTTCCACATCGTTGCAAATGGCAAGATTTCAGATTTTTGATGGCTGCATAATATTCCA